GAGGACGGGTGTCAATCCATATCTGCCAAGTGACCCTATGTAGGAGGAACAGTCCCTATTCTGCTCTGTGTCAGTGTGTATCAGGGATCCTGAGGATAGGTGTCAATCCATATCTGCCAAGTGACCCTATGTAGGGGGAACAGTCCCTATTCTGCTCTGCGTCAGTGTGTATCAGGGATCTTGAGGATAGGTGTCAATCCATATCTGCCAAGTGACCCTATGTAGGGGGAACAGTCCCTATTCTGCCCTGTGTCCGTGTGTATCAGGGATCCTGAGGATAGGTGTCAATCCATATCTGCCAAGTGACCCTATGTAGGGGGAACATTCCCTATTCTGCTCTGTGTCGGTGTGTATCAGGGATCCTGAGGATAGGTGTCGAAATCCATCTGCCAAGTATTGAGCCTATGTAGGAGGAACAGTCTCTATTCTGCTCTGTGTCAGTGTGTATCAGGGGCTCTGAGGACAGGTGTCAATCCATATCTACCAAGTGACCCTATGTAGGGGGAACAGTCACTATTCTGCTCTGTCAGTGTGTATCAGGGGCTCTGAGGACAGGTATCAATCCATATCTACCGAGTGACCCTATGTAGGGGGAACAGTCCCTATTCTGCTCTGTGTCAGTGTGTATCAGGGATCCTTAGGATAGGTGTCAATCCATATCTGCCAAGTGACCCTATGTAGGGGGAACAGTCCCTATTCTGCTCTGTGTCAGTGTGTATCAGGGATCCTGAGGATAGGTGTCAATCCATATCTGCCAAGTGACCCTATGTAGGGGGAACAGTCCCTATTCTGCTCTGTGTCAGTGTGTATCAGGGATCCTGAGGATAGGTGTCAATCCATATCTGCCAAGTGACCCTATGTAGTGGGAACAGTCCCTATTCTGCTCTGTGTCAGTGTGTATCAGGGATCCTAAGGATAGGTGTCAATCCATATGTCAAGGTGTCAATATGTCATATGTCAGGTGTCAATCCATATCCATTGTGATTTTGGAATGTTAGGTGATTTATGCCCTTTATGGATTAAGACCAGACTCTGCATCAACTGTGTAATTTTCCATGGGAGTTTTGCCATGGATCCCCCTGCGGCATGCCACAGTCCAGGTGTTAGTCCCCTTGAAACAACTTTTCCATCACTATTGTGGCCAGAAAGAATCCCTGTGTGTTTTAAAATTCGCCTGCCCATTGAAGTGTATGGCGGTTCGCCTGGTTCGCGAACATTTGCGGAAGTTCGCGTTCGCCGTTCGCGAACCGAACATTTCGTGTTCGCGACATCACTAATGTAAACTGTGTGCAGCACTGGCGTTGGTTCATATGCAGTGGTGTATTCTGGTTTTGTGCTGCCATAGGCAGGACAAAACTCAGGTACCCTCCTCCCCCCGCGCCACCCCCACCTTCTAAATACACACACACACAAACAGTCAGACGCACACACAATCACTCACATTAACACCTTTTTTTTTGTTTTTTAATTTAACCCTCTCCCCCCTCCTTACCTTTGGGAGTGCTGGGCGGGGGTTCCTCTTTCTCCCTGGTGGTCCAGTGGCTGCCGGTCGGGCTGGCTACTGGGCGGGCGGCTGGCGAGGGAGCTCTTCCTCTGAGCTGACTGCTCAGCACCCTCGCCAGCCGCCCGCCCAGCGCCGCCCGCTCGGCATGTCTGTTAGCCGCAAGGCTAACTAGGCATTTGCCCTGGGAATTTGGGGGGCGGCGTTTTTTGCCGCCCCCTGAAAAATGTCGCCCAAGGCAAATGCCTTGTTTGCCTCGCGGCTAATACGCCCCTGTTCATATGGCAGATCATATAGGTGGTGCATTGTGATTTCACATGGTGGGCAGCACATATGGGGACAATTTTTCTATTGCCTAGGGCCCTGCAGAGTACAATACTAATCACAAGGAATGCACTAAAGGGAACAGGGAACAGAAACCACAATAGGGCACAGAATCTTGGGCCAGGTAAGTTTAAATACCTTTATTTTTAATGTAATTGGTCCACGTCATGCCTGCGTCCCAAAACGTGCGTGTATGGGGGCGCCTGAATGACGTGGGCCACGGGAACCGACTGCAAGGTTAGGCTCCCATTTTCCCTTTAAGAAGGTGCTCGCAGCTGGTGCTCTCAGCCAACAGAACATGGTCCTGTATGGCGCTACTAAGCTTATTAGAGCTAACCAGATTCTCAATGAGATTCTGAAAACATAGATTGGAGTTGTAAGCATCCAACAGAGCCCAAGTATGTTGCCAAGCCATTCTAAAATGGTTTGACAAATTACATTAGGTTAGTAGCAGTGGACTACTGACACCATAACCACTACAGTGGGCAGTAATGGTTTTGCTACTTAAAGTGTTCCTCTACATATATATATTCCCACTGAACTTTTGCGGTTTTCAGCTGCTGGCACTGGACTGTCAAAAGGCTGCTATCTGGACTGGTGGCTGGCCCTAGTTCCAGGGAATTGTCCCATGTCTTTGTGGGCACCAGCTGGCCTGGGCCCACACCTTAGCAGGTACTGGATGTCTAGCTCGTAGGGAAGCAAGTGATTGGCTCCTGTTCTTGACAAGTGCTGGATGGCTGCTCTGTGCTAGATGGGGGCCAACTTGCTGAATAGGTGCTGAAAGACTGGCCTGGATGTGTGACGGTCAGCTGATTGGCTCCTGGGCTTGGTGGGCACTAGCTGTCTGAGTGTGGGCCAACTGGCTGACCTGAGTGATGCTTTCCTTTGGAGAAAATCTGACGCCGGAGGTCCTCATGCAGAGCGTGAGGACATCCAGCGTCAGATAACGGACCAAAAGTCCGTTTGGATTCCGGAAGCTCTCTAGTGGCTATCTGGTAGCTGCAATGTTAACTCTTAAGTGCAATTAGCTGAAGTGGTCTGGCTGCCTACAGTGTCCCTTTAAAAATAAAAAGGATGCCAATTTCAGTGCTTAATGCAGCACCTTTGTCAGGGACAAAAGAACAACCAAAACCAGTGTTTTGTGACAACACTAGTTTTCGGTTGGAGTAACTCTTTAAACCGGCTTCCCCAAACTCCGGCCCTCCAGATGTTGCTGAACTACAAGTCCCATGATTCTGATACCGGAGAAACTGACGGAAGCAAAGCACAGAGGGATGGACACAGGTTTCTTCAGGAAGGAAGAGATTCTTTATTGGATCACCGATCGGGACTCAGAGGGACTAATGTCACCAAAAATACAGCAAGTTCTGAGCCCTGAACAATAGTGCAGGCTCCCTATATAGGCACATAACTCCTCCCATTAATAGCTACACCCACATATACCTTTAACCAATCAATGAGCAGAATATAGACTTGTACATCTAGTCAAACCACATGGCTCATCCAAGACAAAGGAAATAAGTGCAATTTCAGTTCCTGCATTCCTGCACATGCTCAGTACACTGATGACAGTATCCTAGCTACATGTAGCTAACCAACTGACACAACATACACATATGCCACATGGAGATTTTGGCCTACTAAATTTTAACCATGCTGGAATCCCATCACATTCCCCCCTTTTGATGCCTCTGATATAACATTATTCCAGATGCATCACCAATCACAGTTTTACCTACATCTCTCAAGTAGCCATTGAACCAGAGTAGACCTTGTAAGCATCTTAAAAACTCCTTCAACATTCTTCATCCTGAATATATTCTCTTCGGGCTAGGGGATCATATCTTCCAGACAGCCATTACATGAGCCGCTGTCTTTCTCTCTATAGTACTCTCTATAATACTACGTAGGGACCTTACCACTAGTGGAATTAGACAGGGCAGGAGGAGGCACAAAAAAAATATAATAAATTCTACTCCTCCTACTAATGTCTTAATTCCTCCAAGCTGCTCATACCAACTTCCAAACCAACTACTTAGGTTATACCCATTCCAGACCTGAGTAGGCACATGCTCAAATTTAACCATGTGGCTTGTAAGTTCAGCTATTGCTTGCCCTTCGTCATCTATTTGAAGACAGCAATTGCTCAGGTTAAACTTCCCACATACACCTCCCTCTACTGCCAAAAGATAATCCAAGGCTAATCTATTTTGGTAAACTGCTGTCCTCATCCTGGTATTATGCTTCGCTAGAAGATTGAGCGCTTGTGATGTCTCGTTAGTAATGATCTCAACCACCGCCTGTAACCTTATAATGCGGTTGAGCATATAAATAGGGGTTCTATAACCAAAGGTACCATCCTCTGCCCACGTGGCTGGCCCATAATAATTAATAATACGTTGAGGGGGCCACTCATTATCTTCCCAGCTACCTATATTCAAGGATGCTCTCTCCCTTTTATGATTTACATCGTAAACCTTAACTCCCAAGGTCTCTCCTGTTTCGATTGGCAACAAGAAGAAGGATGGCTTTGGCATACCTAATACACATGCCCCTTCCCAATCTTGTGGTAACTCCGAATAGGCCTTCTTACCACAGATCCAGTACAAATTCGCTGGGGCTCTCCAGTTAGATGTGATGGATAGATCAAACCATACGTCCTTTAAATTGGCATATCTTGCAAACGGGTTAGATGGTTCTGAGACATTTGAAGCTGACCACCAAGTAGTATTTTTAGTATTAACATTATAGGCTTTTTGTCCCAAGCACGTTAGCTCACCTACAGACGTGTTATACATTGTCCCTTTCCTGGCTATACAAACATGACCTATAATGGAGGTTTTTAACCACCATTCCAATTTACTTCTAGTACTTACTTGATGATCAGACTGGAAAGGTATCTGTTGCTCATATGTCTCAGAGCCAGGGTACCATATTTCCTTTGCCTCCCATGGCCACTGGTCTCCCATATTAGTACCTCCACACACATAGCAATTAGTTACATTAAGACTACCTGCAATACCCTCAGCCAAATCACTAAATAGGTTGTTAACATTATGGGGAATTTTATCCTCAATACTCATCTCCTCATAGAAGGAATGAGAAACCTGATGAGTTTGAGTTGCCACTGTCTCAGTTTCAAGACCTACATATATTATTGTTCCTGAATCTACTCCTGTGCCATATATTTGGAACCCAAACAGACCTCCAAACCTGTCAATAAAGTACTGCAGATTGGAAATGGTCATGTGAACGAGGTTACACACATAGTTTTACAGTATGGTGTGGTAGGCAACCTTTGGATAATCATATCTTGATCCACTGTTTTTCCCAGGTTGCCCAACCTACACATGACCAATAGGGGCAGAAGTTAGTCTCTATTTGGGCAATCAGGATCAGTAGATCTTTTACTGGGACATAAGTATTTATCATTAAACCCATAAGTTCGTTCCCATTTAAGAATACCACATACATTCCAAAGTCTTCCACTACCCGAAATCGCCTTACATGCATCAAATAGTAGAATACCCGTGGAATGTATGGTGCTTATCACAGTCCTATTTATTAATGTCCCCTGGGAGTTACTATTCCGAATTACCAACCAAATTGTACGGGGTTGGAAATGGGGATCAAAACATTTAGACTCTCCTGATATTGGCTTGCACACACTATAATCAATATCCAAATATCTACATTTAGATACAGATCCCTTACATTCATACTGTGAGTGCCAGATGAGAGTTTGGGATATTTGGTTACCTGTTTTAGTAGTCTTAATGCAACTATCGCAATTCGGTATGTCTATACTCCTACCTTCCTGAAAAATCATAAAAATACTAAGACACAATAAAACACATTATTCCTGAAATCCTCATTTTTCTTCGACCGTGCGATGGCCTCTCAGCTTCCCGATTGTGAGGGCTGCAAGGATGTTGTTCTTCTGATCCTCACTTTCCTTCACAGAGATCCCTTCAAGATACTCTGGCTATGACACGTAGGCAGGTGGTCAGGCTTTATTATGGCCGTCAAAACACCTACTTGATGATCTTTGTAGACTTTTAACTAGAATGTCTCGATATCCCCTCGTCACTCCGACTGAGTTGCACGCTTCAACCGGGTCCTGCAAGGATTCTCAGGATCTGGAGTAGTTTGCCAAGAGTCTGCTGCTGGTTTAACCTTAGAATGATGAATCCAAGGAGTCACTTCCGCCACCTTTACAGCTGTTGGGGTAGATAAAAGAACAACATACAAAGGCTAACAGAATACACCCCGAGCTTTAACTCAATATGTATTGGTGGGATATTACGAGCAAGTCCTGGAGGATTATTTTCTTCCCATACTCCTGGAATGTCAAATAAGGATTCATCACTCTTAGGGTTAACACTTGTCACTATGGAATAGAAGCGTCATTCTTCTTCCCTTGGCACCGATATCGCCATTATGCCTGGTAATCCCTTAAACTTCAGAGATGTTAATCCATTAGGTAAAAGGTTATCTGAGCTTAAAGCTTCGATAATAGATCTCGTCCTAAAAGTTGAATCGGACACTCTGGCATATATAGGAACTAATGCTTCACCACAGAATGTTCAGCACCTGTGTCGATCATGAAAGAACTTCTCTTTCCCCCTATTGCTACATCGACCATAGGCTACGCTCGACCAAGTGGGATGGAGCCCAGTCGGTATCAATAGTCTTCCATGATAGTGTCAGCCAGACCCACAAAATCTCTATCCTCTCTTTCTCTAGGTCTCTGCGTGGGTGGATAGTATCTGTCTCCTTGAACACTTCCTCTACTATTCCCACCATTCCCTCTAAAACTTCCTCTTACTCTATAACTACCACTATAACCTCCTCGTACCCTTCTCTCTCCTTGTCTATCACCTTCATACTGCTCTCTCTGTGGACACTCACTCTTCCAATGTCCCTCCTTTCTACAATACGCACATTAATTCCTACTTAAAAGTCCCTTGCTCAGCCTATTCTCGTCTCCTCTATTCACTTCCCTGTCTTTCTACACTTAAGATAGCTACCGCTAGCATATCTGCCTTTTTCCTCATTTTACGTTCTTCCTCCGTCTCCCTATTCATATATACTGTATTTGCAATCTCCATTAGCTGTATTATGGACATCCCTACAAATCCCTCTAATTTTCTGTAATTTCCTTTTACTATCACCTTGGGCCTGGCTGACAAATGCTGAGTCTATCATTCGAAAGTTTTCAGGGGCCTCTGGATTAAAGGGAGTATACAACCTATTTGACTCAAGCAGTGTCTAATATGGGACTTCGGCAAGGCTGCCCAATAATAGGTTCCAGTCTAGGAGTAGTAAGATAATTTTATTAGTCAGCATTTGGTGGATGAAAAAACGTTTTGTTTTGTTTTTTGTTTTTTTTTTTTTAAAGTGTTAAACCAAAAACCTACCAGTAGGTGTCACCAGAGGGTAATTGTATCAAAATAATCTTTATGGGTCTAATAAGAAAACTCAACTTTTAATATATTTATACATAAAATAAAACCTTATAGCAATAAATATATTAAAATAGGGTAAGCAATCCTACATCTATCTGTTATAAACAATGTATTATCAATGTAACTCCCGAAGATGGCCAGTAGGTGGCTTAGAGTGCCTCCCTAAAGTCAAATGAAACAAATAGACTTTAATTAATTATGTCCTATTTTATTATTACTTATTTTAATCAATGTCCACCCTGCTAGCTAGGCTTGATTAAATCTTTAGTTCTAAGGTAAATTAAACATTTCAGTTTGTAGTTTAGTAAAAGGGGACATTTTGGACAAAGCTGGGAGGGGCCCATCCAGTAACTAAAAAACCAATATACCATCTGATACCATTGATCATTGATTAGGGGGAGGGGTAGTACAGAAATACAAGAGTTTGAAACACAGGAACAGATAGGTATGTGGGTAGGCGGGGACAGTAGAGCAGGGGGAGTGCAAATACTGATTATACCAGCCAGAAATGGGCGTGGCTAATCTGGCTCTGGAGGATGTTTGGGGGGTTGGTAATCAGATGCCAGGGGGGGGGAGGGGATGTCCAAAGCAGTTGTAATTAAGTCCTTAGTTCTGACCACCATGTGGCTACATTGTTTCCCATATGACACAGTTTAATTCACCAAGGCAACAATCAGTTTCCAACAGTCAATATATAGAAACTGATCATAGAATTCCAGCCTACTAGTTACAGCCACATGTACACCCTGCACTAAATTTAAGTGAAGACTGCTACATGGAGGCCATGCGGCCACCAGGACAAGCTACTCCCTACTTTTTTTTTTTTTTTAAACATACAAGACAAAAGACTAACAGCCAAGTGAATCAGATTATTTCAACAGAACGTCTGATTCAAAAAGCTGTACAAATATACACACAGTTTCAACAGTCACACCAATCTCCTTATCACCAGCAACACATTGCGCAGTCACTAGGCCCAAACACACACACAGGATCCTCACATGCTCAACAATATCACGACGTCGCACACACGAAATTAAATCAAAAACCCAAAGACTATACACTTATCAATGTAACTATTATTCAAACCATACAACTATCCACGCTATTAATCCATATAAACTAACCGATCACATAACATTTCAACAAATTCATCTCTACAATTATCTGTACTATAAATCAACTTTTGACTAACCAACTATATCACATTCTAGTAACCTCATCTTTACAGTCAGTGGTTATGGTACAGTTAGTAAGTGGTTATAATACAGTTTTAAAGTCACAGATCAGTTAGTAACAGTTATGGTATTATACATATAACATAAAACAGCAATTGTTAGTAATTTTACACAATGTCAGTGGTTATGGTACATGTCAGTAGTTATGGTACCGTGCGCTATTTTACAGTTATACACACAATTTACACTCCCACTAGACAGCAGAGCTCTAACTTTCTAGTAGGACATACAAGTTAACCAATTCACCAACTACAATATATTTAACAACATTTACAATAATCCCAACTAAACTATTGGCCAGTACCTTGAATAGACTACCTAAAACTATATACACCCGTTTTGGTTAGCCACACTGCCCAAGCACCACATATAGCGAACTAGAGGGCGGAATTTACAAAATTGCCCTTCTAGTCTATTTACTCTATCAAAAGTCTAGTGGGTTCCAAATTTACACGCCTTCCCACTTAGCCAAGATAGGTTGAGAGCTAGCGAACCGAATTTACACAGGCGCCGCTTAGTCTCCCGGTCCCTCCGACCTAGCGAACGTAATATACACCCTAGAACGCTAGTCTAGACAAGACACCGGTGTCCGGCTAGGGCTATTTACACAGGACCCCGCCTGACTAACCAGATCAAACGGTCTTACTAAAGAGCGTTCGATCGAGCGGTGCGCCTTCGCTCCTTCCCTCCGACAGAGGGGGCAGATTCCATACACAGATTTAAACCCCTTTTGGGCCTACCGCACAATCGGTATACCCCTAGTGGGTCTGCCGTCTAAAACAGCAGTTGTCTTACCTCCTCGTTCCTGAACCTGAGTTCACACTCATCGACGGGGACACCCCAGCACTTCTTACGTAGAGGCCGATGATCTCCTGGACAACAGACCAGTGGCGCCGAGACGAAGGGAGGTCCACGCAGAAGTTCAGGGGTGCAGCCGTAGAGAACGTGGGCAAAGATAGACCGTCTCACGCCTCTGCCTCTCAGCTACCGTTGAACGATGAGCTTCCCGGCCAATGCACCAAATGATACCGGAGAAACTGACGGAAGCAAAGCACAGAGGGATGGACACAGGTTTCTTCAGGAAGGAAGAGATTCTTTATTGGATCACCGATCGGGACTCAGAGGGACTAATGTCACCAAAAATACAGCAAGTTCTGAGCCCTGAACAATAGTGCAGGCTCCCTATATAGGCACATAACTCCTCCCATTAATAGCTACACCCACATATACCTTTAACCAATCAATGAGCAGAATATAGACTTGTACATCTAGTCAAACCACATGGCTCATCCAAGACAAAGGAAATAAGTGCAATTTCAGTTCCTGCATTCCTGCACATGCTCAGTACACTGATGACAGTATCCTAGCTACATGTAGCTAACCAACTGACACAACATACACATATGCCACATGGAGATTTTGGCCTACTAAATTTTAACCATGCTGGAATCCCATCACAATTCTATGAAATAAATAGATAGGCTGAGAATCATGGGAGTTGTAGTTCAGCAACATCTGGAGGGCTGGAGTTTGGGGAAGCCTGCTTTAAAGTGTCCCTGTTTGTCCATTACAAATGTATATAGGTATGTTCCTTTAACCCCTTAAGGACCAAACGTCTGGAATAAAAGGGAATCATGACATGTCACACATGTCATGTTTCCTCAGGTAGACTGGCAGATGTTACTGTAGTGCAGTTCTCCCTCCGCGCCTCCAGTTGGCGCTGTTTGTGTTTTCTGCATGCTGTATGAGGTATCCAGTGCAGGAAGCAGGCTGAGCTGTACAGTATTCATTGTAGTAAATTAGTGAGCGCAGAGTGAATGATCATTCAGATCTCAGTGTCCGGCTGTCAGTGCAGTAAGGCTCAGCAGACCTGTTGTGGAAGATGAGTTTAGCACAGGATCCAGTGGTGATTGTCTCTGCAGCTCGCACTGCCATAGGTATTTATTAAAATTAATTTATATAGTGACATACAACAGCTGTGAATGATAAGAGTAACCTGATCATTTTATAAAGCATTGCTTTAACAATCTTTTATAATGAAGCATGTCAAACTACTGTGTTAGTGCTTCTATATGTATATTTGCAGTGTCTGTTTATATATTTTGCATTTAGTTCTCTCCTCGACATTTATACCTTTTATATTGTTATATGTTTCTTATTGTTATGATAGGTTTATCTTGCTTATAACCTAAAATATATGTACACCATAATCTCTAGAGTAAAATAAGTTTTCTTTTGTACGTAGTTCTGGATTTCCACATTAATTTGTACTTTAGCATAATTAAACATTGTACATGAACACCCTTATTAGACTTGGAACTATATCCTATAATAATTACATCAAACAATTATCCCAGTGTTTCTTTCATTTATTTACACAAGTCATTCTTCATAGGGAACCATATTTTCCCATTACTATATATGTTTTGTCTTTTGTGTTCACATTATTATAACTATATTCTGTTATTATGTGCTTTGCATATGTTTGCTGCTTTGTACTGCATTGCAGTAAGTGTGCCTTTTAGGTAAAGTGCAGATTTTAAAATGATAAATTTATGGAAGTGCGTGATCATGTTTAAATTTTTATATATATATATATATATATATATATATATATATATATATATATATATATTGTATAACCCAGATCTATATTGCACACTTACTCCCAGCTTCTGGCTAGTTGCATTGCTGTGTAATTTTGAGCTTATTGGTGATGACTAGTCTATGGGCTGAGACTCAGAGTGGAGCTCATGAATATTCGGCAGCTCCATGTATGAATAGAGGGAGGGTCAGCCTCTCCAGGTCTTCGTGACATTATCTTCTCTCACCCTGATTGGCTGCTGCTTGTAGAACCATGTATGGGGCTTGTTTCTTATTGGATGGCTGGATGGCAATGTTCTCCGTGTGTTCTGATTGCTTGTCTGACATAAACCATATCACTCTCAGTAGTTGGTGCCAGCTCTATTCATATAAGTTGTACTTGTAATGAGAGAGAGAGAGAGAGAGAGAGAGTGTGTGTGTGTATATATTTATTATTAATTTATTTTTCTTCATACTCTCACATTTGCCTCTAACAGCATTTATGTTTTTAAAGTTATTTATATTCATCCTATAGACTGTAAGCTCGTTTGAGCAGCGTCCTTATTCCTATAAGTTTTTTTTTGTTTGTTTGTTTTTTTGTAATTGTACTAAACCCTCCCTACCATAACATGGTCTAGCTTCCACAAACACTAGCCTGATATCTAGCCTTTGCAATTATTAACTATAGGGGGGATAGTTTTGAAAGTGCTCTGTTCCAAAATGTACTATATGTAGGGCACTCTCTATGGAAATCAGTGGGCCCAGCAGATCTCTTCCAGTAGTAACTCCTCCACTTTTCCATTTTTCACCACTTTTTAGAACAGAACTGGCTGAATGCAACACACATCCAGAGCAGATGGTGAAATGCTAGCTCAGGGATGTCCAGCATTGGCGTTCTCACATTTCTCGTAGTACATTAAACTACATTCCTCATAGTGCATCATTAAATAATTTGCTGCCATCCTATTGGACTTAAAGAGTTACTCCAAACACCATGACCATCTTATTGGTTTGAGCTGATCATGGTGCCTGGAATTTGTATGTTTAGCAGTTTGCTATGAAATCCTGCATATACAGTCTATAATCCCTCTGCTGTCGAAGGGGTAACTCTGCCTCCTGAGGCGTCATAGGTGTGTAATTAGCCAACCCAAAACTGGAGTTCCAGGCTGTCTATTGTCAACTATGGGCATATTTCTAAGCCCCTTTACCATGGAACTGGACCAAGGTACTTGTAGCATCATAACCACTAGAGTGGGGAGGCGCGATCGCTGTCAAGTTTTGTCACTTCCCTCTGCTGTTGCTGGCAACGGCTGTGGGAGTAAGATATTGGCTCACTTGTCGCAAGATAATATCTATGGATTCCCTTATGGAATCCTCTACTGAACTCACATATGTGAGAGTACAGCACTGAAGTGTGCTCCTGGCAGGTGAAGCCCCAGAAGCTGAAGCTCAAAGATGGCGAGGCAAACAGGAAATAGCATCAGGTAAGTATACCTCCTCTTCTCTGCACCCCTGGGCCACCACACACCAAGCAGCAATGTCACCATTGAGGTCTTGGTAGAATATGTAAAAACAAAAAAGTGCTGCTTTAATGAGGCTGTAACCAAATGCATTCAAGTTTTATCTGTGCCCTGAGTGTCTCTTTAATGGGTACATCTGGTCTGGTAGACTCTTGTTTATATGTTCAGATTTCTTGGTCATGTGTTCAGTTTGCTTTGATATAATTCTAACCAAATACCAATTTCTGTTTTAGGTTCATTTAATGGTGCTCTGTCGAGCTTACCTGTTTATGATTTGGGCTCTGTTGTGATCAAAGAGGTTTTAAAGCGAGCCAGTGTTAAACCTGATGAAGTCTCTGAAGTAATATTTGGCCATGTTTTGACTGCAGGTATGTGTGTGATGACCTGTGATGTGTGTCTACTGTAAGCTGACATATCTATTCAGCTATGCAGTAAATATATTTTATGGATATGTTACTTTTTTGTTATTTTAAAACTGGTGTGTGTTGGTGGTCAAACCAAGATAATGCTCAGACATATCAACTATAGCACATTTTTCATTTAATTAATTTTCAGGTACCGGACAAAACCCCACTCGTCAAGCCAGTGTATCTGCAGGTATTCCCTACAGTGTTCCAGCCTGGAGCTGCCAAATGATATGTGGATCTGGTTTGAAGGCGGTCAGCCTAGGGGCTCAGTCTATTATTACTGGAGAAGCAGATGTTGTGGTAGCAGGTGGAATGGAGAACATGAGCCAGGTGAATAATTTCTGTAGAAATATTTACACATTTTGTGTTATGTAGCTGGGAGTTAAAGAGGCTCCCATAGATGTGTGTAAAAGGGGCAAATTTTAACATTATTTTTTTATGTGTGCGAATTCCACATTCAAAAGTAATATGAACGGTTGTGCTCCACATGTTATTTTTTTATAGAGATATTATATAATTATTGGTTAATTCAAAACTTGCCACGATATCTCAGCACTGTACAACTGGTACACATGACATACAAATATGTGACACTGGAGGTTTAGTCTGTGAATGTCCTTACTGTTTACAGCAGTGTTCCTCAACGTTTGGACAATGACCGAAGCTAAGTCACCAATTTCTTTTCATTTGGTCTCTGTTATTTGGACCAGGTACATCATATTAGACAAGCCTCAGCCTGTAGCAGTATTGTATTCCCTAGATCAAAAAAAGCCTAATTAAAGCTGTTTTGTGGACTTTTTTATGTTCTTTTACATTTAAAGAATAGGGACAACTGGCAAGTGTATAGTTACACAAGCTGTGACAATGTAAAAGTAGTGATCTGTGGATAATAGATATTCAGTTGCACAATGTATTTTATCAGAATCATATGTGCAATATTAGTATAATGTTCCCACAGAAAAACACTATAACCATTAGAGCTTATATTTCCAATTTTTTTATTTTTTTTAAGGGAAACCGTAATAGGCATTGTAACAATTTAATTTTATTGAAATGGAGTTCTTCCATTTCACATTGTACTATTTAGTGTTAAACAGTTTTTGATCGGGTTGACACTGAGCGAGGGACCCCATCTACTGAAACCCAAGCCTCTCTCTGCTGCTTTTGCTAATGCTTCCTTAGTATCCTGAGCATTGATGAGCTGCAGTGGTAGGCTGAGAGTGTCTGCTGAGTCCTCTCCGCCCATTACAGTTGCCCATCACTGGTGTGGATTGGTATGACTAATGTAGAGATCCACTCCATTTCCCTACCTTCAGTAGGGGGGGCAAAGCCACAAGGCCCGGAGACCCTCATTCAGTGTCAAGCTAAGTGAGATTGATTTAACAACTAACAGTGGGTCAGTGCCAAGGGACTTCAGGCTCCATAAACACTTTAAAGAGACACTCCAGACCTTAAACAACTTTACCTTGCTGAAAAGCTTTGAGTGGAGAGTGTGTCCTCTTTTTTTCATTTTGTAAAAAGAAGATTTCAATATAAATTAGGTACAAGACAACGGCAAACGTATAGGAGAAAGTGGCTGTAGATCTACAAGTATAACAAAAGACAAAACATAGCGTAATACTGTTATAATATAATACGCAAGATTGGAGTACACTCACAAGATATAATGGAATTAATCGCAGAAAGCTGCCTCCCCTTATGGTATGGGGGGCTATAGCCAGGACCCCTTATTCTTTGGAACCACTGCTGGAAGTATGGAGAGCCAGACTCAGGATGCAGGAAAAAAACTGCTTTATTTATCCAAAATATAAAATGAAGCTAAAAAAGCTTTAAAAGTACCAAAATTGCTAAGGAGTTATCCTACATGTTTCACCCAAAGTAGGGCTTCCTCAGGGAATCTCCCAAAGTATATAGCAACATAAAATATAAAACAATAAAATAAATTAACAAAATAATGAATTCCTATAAAGCAGAATATAACCTCCCCCCCCCCGAGTCTCTCTTTATAAATGGCTCTTGATCCTTGTAGTTTTGGGTGTTTCTACAAGTCAATCAGCTGTTCTTAATCTTCCTTAATGAAATTTAAATTGCCCGATATGATCGGCATTCACTTCTGGATTTTCGACGTCATTTCCATTGCGCCGTCTTTCCTGGGCACACTATAATGACGTGTGCGTTCCATGTGGCTGTTCTGCGTTCCACCTTCGGTGTTAATATTAACATCTATCTAAAACAATGAAAAAAAGCTAGCAAACAGTAATTAATATATTTTATTTGAGTGAATATAATTATTTGACCATATCTATATAATGATAGCTTAAGAATAGAGTCCAGTTTATCCTCCCTCTATGGAAAAAAAGGAGGACACAACATACAAAAAGACTATATAATGTCAAAAATCCATTTGGAGATGAAACTGGATTTTTCCTGCATCCTGAGTCCGGCTCTCCATACTTCCAGCAGTGGTTCCAAAGAATAAGGGGTCCTGGCTATAGGCACCTTTCTGCGATTAATTCCATTATATCTTGTGAGTGTACTCCAATCTTGCGTATTTTATTATATTATAACAGTATTACGCTATGTTTTGTCTTTTGTTATACTTGTAGATCTACAGCCACTTTCTCCTATACGTTTGCCGTTGTCTTGTACCATATTAAAGGAATATTGTCTAGGATATTCCTGGAGATGGCTACCACTATCTAAGAAGATAAGTGTGTTTTTTCCATCACATAATTGTATTTCTTAAGTGTTGGATATATCTTTTGTGTGAATTTATATTCAATATAAATTAACCTGGTTATATACCCCCTTGGCTTTCAAGCAGACAACAGGCAATATTACTAACTGGTTCTGTTAGCTCAGTGCAGCTGACCTCAGGAGACAGCAATTGCCCAGAGCACTTGACTTACAAAGACTTCTCATTGATTTGCATTGGGAAGCCTGTGATTGGACAGTCACAGAAAGTCTGGGTGGGGTTTGAAGGGGTGAGCTTGCAAAGGCAGTAGACAAAAGATCTGCAGGTTTTCTAGGCTGTTTTAGGTATATCCCTAATGGAAAAAAAATACATAATTAAATTAATGCACGTTTTAATTTGGGTATATCTACTAAACAGTGACTTTTGTATTATATGTGGGTAGTGGAGTGTCCCTTTAATGAGGAGTAACTATGGTACATAGAGTGTCCTTTTATTTAAACCATACACAAAGAAAAGCACAATTAAAATTGTTAATTTTTTTTTTAGTTTGTAACTAGCAGTGTGGTTCATTTCACTTTCTGTCCTCACACAACCTCAGAATACATTGACAGGTTTAGTTTGTGTTGTGTTGTAATACATATAAACATTAACTCGGATTCCAAGTATGTCTGACAGAAGGAACTGCTAATTTATCTTCCCTTTCCAATAACCCATGTGCATTGGGTTAGGCATTTAAATATGATAGAGGTCCAAGGCACTCTTCAATACCAGTGCCCTAGTCCCTGACATTAATAGACCCCCAACTCTGGCATTAATAGCCGTTTTTAATTGCTGAGGGATGCCCTGTCTCCAGGTAGAGTATAAGTCTTTCCACCCCCACACACCATGCACACCTCCAATTGTTCCAAGGGATGAACAATCCCTAAAGTTCTACATATGCTCTTAAACATCTGTGGGCATAGTGATTTTCCCCACATCGTTTTAGAAATGAGTAGCAATCTTGGACAGTTGTCATGGCACACAGTGCTACTCACCTGCTGCACCCTAAAGGCAATATTGTGGTGGCTGATGCAATTCGTGTCTCTCTAGTCTTGTCTGCTGCTCCCCTGTCCACCCATTCAGTGCGAGGTTCCGAAAGCACCACATCGCTACGGCAAGATGGTGTCTTCCATGTGGACTCTGAGGCAGAGACCAGGGAGAGACTGTGGGAGAGGTGGTGCGAGGAAAATGATGCAAACCAAGATGATGCTGAGTCTTTGAACTGTTTATATAGGTCCACGGTGTTCCGCCTACAGGGGAATGGTGCTGGTTATGTGACTCTCTCAGCCTATTTAATCCCAGAGTAACCCCTAACAGTGCTTGGTTGTTCTAAGCTTCTAACTGCGCTTTCTCGTTGCCTGCCCTGTCTTTTGGACCTCCTGATCATGCCTCTTGTCTACTCCCTCTTGGAAACTGTTGCCTGGCACGTTTTCCTGACCTATCAGGGCCCTGTTATCACCCTCAGGTGCTCCTGAAGTTTGTGATTTGTGATTAGAGATTGCTGTTCCGCTGAAACTGAGTTCCTTATCAACAACTGAACCCCTCTCGGGCTGTGACAACAGTCTTCCAGAAAGACTGGCAAGTATTGTTTGAGGGATTCTTGAAGCTTTCCAACTCTTGGCACGGTTGGTTACATTTTTTTTTTTTTTTTTTTTTTTAAAGAGTATACCTTACTAAAGATCTCATTAGATTACCAAAGCAAATATCTCCAAAATGGGTGATTGTGAAAATGGTCCCCAAGATGGCCAAAAGAAAGACACCAGCTGCTGTGGAACTAAATATCCTGATACTTAGTTTGCCCTAAGGTTGGCAAAGAATTTTAGATTTGTAGTTCTACAACAGTGTGGGATATTCTTTATGGCCAAACGATTTTTCTCCTTTCAGCATAATTAGTGTCCTTGATTCATTCAATAAGAATTGTTTTACTTACTGTCTTCATGTACTTAGTTACAAAAGTACAAGGTTAAAAAAAATAAAAAATATAACCAATTGTGATTATTTCCTGCAGGCACCTCATTTAGTGCACATGCGAGCTGGTGTTAAAGCTGGAGATGTTTCTCTACAAGACAGTATACTTTGTGATGGTCTCAATGATGCCTTTTACAAATATCACATGGGGATAACTGGTGAGCGACAACACATTGCATTTTTTCTTTTTATTTCTTAACCCTTCCTACATCATGACACATGCGTTGTCTTTGGGAAGTCTTTAGGCTTCTTGTGTCTAACTAACTTCAGGCAAGTTGCTACAGGCTTTGAAATGTTGGCATGTCTGGCTAAGGTACAATGAGATACTAGTTAGATGGAAGTGATAGCTTCTTTGTGTCTTCTGTCATTAACCAGTTTTAGAAAAAGGGTCCAGGCACTCCAATGTCTTCAGGCACCTTTTTTTGGAACATGTGGAACGCTACAACGTTTCGGCTCCCAATGGAGTATTTGTGAAGCACTTCTAACCTCTCGCTAATATTTCCAAGTACAAGGAAAGCATGTAGGCAATTTTGCCTAATCTCATAGGTACCAGGCATGACCTATTGCGTTCTGAGAGAAACTTTCTTTAAAGTAAGCATTTGGTCAAACTGAACAGAGATTTCTGTCCAAACGCCTCCCAGATGTCAAACCACACTGGTATCCCTTGCCAAGATTCCTGGCCAACCGCCTCCAAGACTCACTTGCGGCCGGTACAGCGGACATAGGCACTGAGCCTGCATAATGCGCTAATAGAAACAGTTATGGTAGAGCAAGTGTCTCATTCTCCCCGTTAATCCCCAAGTTATTTCATGTTAAACCTAGATACAAGATGCTACCGCTTCCTGCGAATACATTCCATGACTAGCAAGAAAATCCCGTAAGGTTGCGAATATACCACATAAGGTCAACAGGTTACCTAGCCTTGTAAGTTCCTATCCGCCGCTAATGTGGAGGGCGGCCAACAGACCCACAGATAGTACTAAATAATGAAAAGGTGAATCCTAGCCTTCTGTGTACATATCTGCTGCTACTGATTGATTACTTATAATAGCGAGCTATACCCACCGTAGTTCTGTTAGATCTCTTAGCAGACTCCAAGTCATGTCTCTGTTATGGCTGTATGCTATGTAATACTGTATGCCTATCATTATTGCCTTTACTATCCTGCATGTTATGCTCAACATGAAGTTTATCTATGTACGCTTCTTAATTGTGCACCTTACAATGATACACAAAATATAAGTAAGGTTGCAATGGTCTCCCGTATCTCCCAGACTGCTACACTGTTCATAGCTACCAACTGATGCACCACACTTCCCCATCCTAAGACCGATGATCTCATGAGTGTGCAATACGCACATACAGCGATATTTATGCCTTCCAACCTCCGGAACTAGATGTGTAATATTGCATGCCTAGACGTTGCCTGTTGGCCGACACCGGTATTCTGTGTGACTCCATGTCTATCAATATGTTACAATCTTCTGTACCTGTGTAACTGTGTCATGTATTTAAATGAAACATTAAAAAAAAAAAAGTTTCTCTCAGAGATAAATTATGAATGTATTTATTTACCTTGATTTGAGCCTCCCCCCGGTCACTTAGATTGATTTTACTATTTAATAATTTTTCCCATTTTAATATCATTATAGGTTGCCTTGGTGACATTATTAAAACACAACATTTAGACATCAGTTTATCCTTCGCTATCAGATCAAAAAAATTTTTTTTATAATTATGTTTTTTCATTTTGATCCCTTATAGGATGTGCAGTGTTTCAAGCTGCAAATCCAGGTTTCTACCACCATGACCACTTCAAAAAGCTGAAGTGGTCATGGTGGTTGGAGTAACCTTTCAACATGATTACCATTGTATTATTCCCTTAACAATCTGACATTCATTACAAGCCTACGACTGGCATTAGAATGGTACAGCTAGAAGTATGCTTCTTAAAGTGTCTCAGAGTGCTTTAATGGCCACCATCCTGCCTGTGGACCACTTTTTTTTTTGTATATTTAAAGATAAGGTTGGTTAATTCAACAGGGAAAAATAGCCTGGCCTCTAAAAATGTCAGTGTTGGCATTTAACATGTTGGGATAATATAACCAATTTTGGCTTTAAGAGAAAATGGATGAACTCTATTTTACAGAAATTTAGACATTCCTGCAATGTATATTTAAAAATAAAAATAAAATATGACCTGTTTTAGCATTGCATAAATATAAAGGAGCTCACCCAATAAAAATATCAAACCTACAGCAGCTGAGCACATGGAACCAGAGACTCTAGATCTTTCTAGGTTTTTCATGTATTTAGTAGGTTAGCCTCGACTGACTAATTTCAACCATAGCAATTTGTTGACCTGCTTACTTTGAGTTCTCTTCCACTTTTTTCCCACAGACCTCATATGAAATGGTAGCTGAAGAGCTTGAGCTATGCTTCCATCTGTGGATATTAAAGGAACACTATATGGTCAGGAACACAGACATGTATTCCTGACCCTATAGTGTTAAAGCCACTATTTAGGTGACTTGGCCTTATTAGAAAAGTTGAAAACTTACCTTATTCCCAGCATTGCGTGGGTCTGCCGACGCTGGCCCTGCCCCTGATCCGACTCCTTGGTGACATCATCATAATTGCTGCTTTTAAGCCAATCCAATGCTTTCCCGTAGGGAAAGCATTAAACAGCTGGGATGGGGGCATGGCCAAACACCGTTTTATCCAATCAGTACCTCCTCATGGAGATGCATTGAGGAAAATTCAGCGTCTCCATGCAGAGCGTGGAGACACTGAACGGCAGTGCTGCCTACTATGCAGCACTTCCCCATGAAGTACCTTCAGTGGCCATCTGAGGAGTGGCCACTTGGAGGTGTCCCTAGGGGGCAGTGTTTGCATTGAAATGCCTGAAGGAAATGATTATACGTACCAGAACAACTACATTAAGCTGTAGTTGTGCTGGTGACTATAGTGTCCCTTTAAGGCTGTCAATTGAAGTTATTTTAAAGACTAGATTATTAATCACGTGCTATTGAAAATAGATGCAGACAGTTTATATTTTTTTGTGTTATTCCAAAACTCTCATTCTTGAACTGTATTTCTATCTTTAACATTCTAATTTTTTAATGATTCTGGACTTGACTGCATCAGATTTCAAGATTTGTTGTTTTTAAGTATATTATATGGCATTTCCTGAAGTTCTAGGTTCTGTCTGATATCACACCAGTGTAACGTCGTTTTGAAACTTGTTTCTTTTATATTTCCTTCCTGCTTGTTATGTTAGCATAATTGCTTTCTTCATTTTACCTGCAAATTAAATATTTGCTTTTTCAATCATTCTTTAGCTGAAAATGTGGCGAAACAGTGGAACATATCCAGAGAGGAACAAGATAAACTTGCTGTTGAATCACAGAATAGAACTGAGGCAGCACAAAAAGCTGGTTACTTTGACAAAGAGATTATCCCTTTCAGTGCCCTCCAGAAAAGGTGGGAATCTTGGATTTTCCAAGATGTGTTTATCTAACCTGCTAATGTTTACATTGTGCTAGTTTCAAGAATACTTGATGCTATTGTTCCAGCTAAGGCCCCAACAAACCATGTGCCTCTAAGCCTTACCTGGAAACCTTTGCAATCTAATGCATTGTGAGTTTAATATTGAGAAGGATCTCATAGGTTCAATGTAAACTCTCTGTATAGCTAGCGGTATCAACTAAACCTGATAGAAAGTTGAATGTACTGATTTCATAGTCAAGGTATTTGATTTTAAACCCAATTCTGCTGGATGGCTGTACTTTGGCTGACATGCTCAGTATGTCATGTGAGAGACAGCGTCACCTGGGGAGATAGTGAATGTGTCACGTGGTTGTGGAGTTTTAGCACTCTAACATGGTAGTGAAATTATGAGCTTCATGAAAAGACAGTCAAAAAACTGACTTCACTTTAAAACATTTCTAGGCCCAGTTGAAGTGAAAGCAGATGAGTTCCCACGACATGGAAGCAATTTAGAAGCAATGACAAAATTAAAACCATATTTTCTGAAGGATGGAAGTGGCACTGTAACTCCGGGTAATGCTTCAGGTAAGTGATATTGTTCTTACTGTGCACTGCAAGAAATGAACAATTGTGTAATACAATATGAGACACGATTATATGCGCTGACAGTTTATTTATTACTCCTTAGTGGTGGACAGTCTTCTTGCCCATCCCCCTTCCTTAAAGCTATAAATAAATATGAAAAAAAAGAAAGAAGATAAGTCATGTCACATCCTTCAGTGTAAGACAGTTCCTTGCATCAGCTCTGCTTTACCCACTTATCAGTACTGATTATCTCCAGGCCCAACCAATGCTTCTTATAGAGAAGCATTGCGATGAAAGGCTCATGTGCAGCCATAACCGTGCATCCAGCAATGCTTCTCATAGAAGCCCAGACTTTTGATTTGTGCCCCAACACAGAGTAAGCATGCAGAGCAACCTTACGGCAGTCTGACAGTCAGGAGGGTGCATCGGTGTTAGTTTATAAAAGTTCTAGTTTCTCTTAAAATAAACACTTTCATAAAGTAAAAAGGATGGGGCAACTAGAAGCATACTTGCAAAAACAGAATATTTAAGGATATCATTTTTCAGTTTAGGGTAAATGCTTCTTAATACAAGGATTAATCTGACTGCCATTCTTGGGTCAAGAGGGATTTTTTCCCTAGTTTGTTGCAAAATTGGAAGTGCTTCAAATTCGTTTTGTTTGCCTTCTTTTGGATCCACAGCAAAAAAACAAATATGAGAAAGGCTGAACTTGATGGACACATGTCTCTTTTCAGCTATGTAACAATGTAACTATGTTAATAGCTAAAGTATTACAGTTAGCTAAAGTACTTTTTGGGATAGAGTGTGTTTTTAAAGTAATAGCGATTTATAGCTGCAATATAAAGGCACATTATCTATTTTTACCCTTATTTATCAAAATATAAAATATATATATACACACACTCCAGGCATAGTGCAGTAATATGCTTTACGAGAACCATCGGATTAGCTGGGAGATCATCAGTATTGATGATATTTTGTCCATCATCACCACACAAAACAGATCTTCAGGTGGTAATTGCAGCTAAATTTGCTATATCTGGTTAATGTAAAATATATTCAACTAACAGGTTTAATCCCCCCTGTAAATAGTAGAGGGGTAAATGAAATTCATTTTTCTGCCTGGAAATTAACTTTTTTTTTGTTTTGTTGCAGCATAATTTAATTATTTCCTTTCCTCAGGTATCAATGACGGAGCAGCTGCTGTAATTCTTATGAAGCAGTCTGAAGCTCACAGAAGAGGACTTTCTTCTTTGGCACGGATTGTTTCTTCTGCTCAAGCTGGGTTGGATCCATCCATTATGGGAGTTGGGCCAATCCCAGCAATTAAAAAAGCGGTGAGTGTTTTTTCAGCAAACGTTATCCACTGCATCTTCATAGACTGCCAGGTTTTAGTTAGTATGAAAATCTTGAATGTTTGTCTTTTTTTTTTTTTTTTTAAATGTTTGTTTCTATCTTGAAGAAAAATGTAAACTTATTAACATTTAAAAAAAAAATAGAAAGAAAAGATATGCCATCCCTTTTGTGGCATTTTCACTACCAATACAAGTTATCTGTGGATTGTGCGGTTTCTTATTATTGATCGATTAAAAAATGCATCAGCTGCATCATGTGCAAAGCTGTTGATGGCATTTAATAGTTTGGCACACAGTTCTTAAAAACTTAAAATGCATTAACTCATGCACCTGTGATCACCATATATATGTGAAATAAATAAAGTGCCTAAATGACTGTTTATGGAAAAATGTCGATGCCAATACCTGCACATGCAATGATGATTAAGTATGTCTTGTGCTTTCCTTATGGACTGTTAAGGGGTTCCCCTTAAACACCCCCAGACCCATTCTTACAACACCGGCATTGAAAAAAGAAAGTACACCCTGTTTTAATTCTATGTCTTTACATATAATGACATAATAACAATCATCTGTTCCCAAGCAGGTCTTAAATTTAGGTGAATACAACATCAGATGGAAAAACAACACATTACATATTATATTGTCATGATTTATTTAAAAAAAAAAAAAAAAAAGCCAAAATGGATAAACTATGTCTAAAAACTAAGTATACCTTATGATTTAATAGCTTGTAGAACCTCCATTAGCATCAATAACTTTAAAGGGACACTATACTCACCAGAACAACTACAGCTTATTGAATTTGTTCTCGTGAGTAGAATCATTACTTTTTGCTGTAAACACGGTCTTTTCAGAGAAAATGCAGTGTTTACATTACAGCCTAGTGATAACTTCACTGGCCACTCCTCAGATGGCTGTTAGAGATCCTTCCTGGGTCATGGCTGCCTAAAATGCATCCAAACATTCAGTGTCTCCTCCCTCTGCATGCAGACACTGAACTTTCCTCATAGAGATTCATTGATTCAGTTCATCTCTATGAGGAGATGCTGATTGGCCAGGGCTGTGTTTGAATCATGCTGGCTCTGCCCCTGATCTGCCTCTTTGTCAGTCTCAGCCAATTCCATGGGGAAACACTGTGATTGGATCAGGCCACCACTTCTGATTATGTCAGCAGACTGCTTGTTTTTTTTTTAAGGCAAACAGCATGCAGAGTTACAGCCTCTGGCTTGAATACAGTAAGATTTTGTTATATTTATGGAGGCATGAGGGGCCCAGGTGAGCGAGATAATGGTGTTAACACTATATGGTCAGGAATACATGTTTGTGTTCCTGACCCCATAGTGATCCTTTAGGTAATCGTTTTCTGTATGACTTTATTTATCTCAAATTGTTGTGAAGGAATTTTGGCCAACTCATCTTTACAACGTTGCTTCAGTTCATTGAGGTTAGCTGGCATTTTTTTATGAACAGCTCTCTTAAGGTCCTGCGACAGCATTTCAATCGGGTTGAGGTCTGGACTTTGACTGGGCCATTGCAACACCTTGATTATTTTCTTTTTCAGCCATTCTGTTGTAGATTTTCTGGTGTGCTTGGGATCATTGACCTGTTGCATGACCCAATTTTGGTCAAGCTTTAGCTGTCGGACAGATGACCTCACATTTGACTCTAGAATACTTTGGTATACAGAGGAGTTCATAGTTGACTCATTGACTGCAAGATTCACAGGTCCTGTTGATGCAAAACAAGCCCAAATTATCATCTCTCCACCACCGTGCTTGACAGTTGGTATGAGGTGTTTCTGCTGAGATGCTGTGTTTGACTTTCGCCAAACATGGTGCTGTGCATTATGACCAAATATCTAAACTTTTGACCTTATAACCCTTCCCAGTTTGATGGGCAGTACAATTGCTTCACTAAGACCATTGTTGATGTATTTCTGTATTAACACACACCTGAATGCTCAAAACCAGCAAACTTCTTAAGACCGGAGGGCGTACTATTTTAGGCGGCTCTAAACGCCGCCAGGCGTAATAGTACGCCCTCCTTTTTTTTTAAAAAAAAGTTTAAATTTTTTTTTTTTTTTTTTTTACTTACCTGCTCCCCGGCGATCCCACGCTGGGGATCGCGGTTGGGGGGACTCCCAGGGAGCCCCCCGCAGCACATCCAGCCTCCTGCAGCCCCCCCGGCCAAGTGAGAGTGAGGTCATTGCGAGGACCTCACAATCACATGGCCGGGTTAGCTGGCTGCTGTATTGCCAGCAGGGGGACTGCCTGTAATGACAGGTAGTCCCCCTGCTGGCCAGAAATCAAATTAAATTAAGGTTAAAATAAGTGTAAAAAAATAAATTATATACTTAGATCATATATATATATATCTCAAATTACACGTAGACTGATACTAATTAAATATATATAATTATTGTTATATATATTTATATATAATATTAAAAAAAATATGTAAATACGTTAAAAAGTAAAATTAAAAAAATAATTAAAAATAAATTAAAATATATAGATGTGTTTCGTTCTAACTGTATTGTGATATTAATATATATATTTATATCAAAATACACGTAGAATGAAATAATATATATCTATATACATAAATATATACGTATATATCACTATATACATACATACATACATATATATATATATATATATATATATATATATATATATATATAAAAAAAAATTAAAATATATATACATATTAATTCTACATATATATTTATACACACACACACATATATATTAATTCTACATATATATTTATATAATATTTTTACATAATTAGGTAACTTAATTAATTACAATTACCGGGACCTGCCTGATGCCGAAAGTAAAGGGAATTTAATTTGCTAGCACTATATTTAACCCTATAACTTTCCAAGACCCCATAAAACCTGTACATGGGGGGTACTGTTCTACTCATGAGACTTCGCTGAACACAAATATTAGTGTTTCAAAACAGTAAAATGTATTACAACGATGATATCGTCCGTGTAAGTGCTGTTTGTACGTGAAAAATGCAAAAAACTTCACTTTGTACAGGTACAGGTTTTATGGTGTTTTCAAAAGTTACAGCTTCAAATATAAGGCTTGTGTTTCATTTTTTTCACATTAAAATTTACCAGATTGGTTACGTTGCCTTTGAGACCCTATGGTAGCTCAAGAATGAAAATTACCCTTATGATGGCATACCATTTGCAATAGTAGACAACCCAAGGTATTGCAAATGGGGTATGTCCATAGGGTATGGGGTATATCGCAATCCTATGTGTGGGCGTTCGTGCGTGTTTGTGGATGAGGGTTTAATGTAATGAAAGATTTTGGTAAGTAGTTAGAGAGTAGTGGACGCTGGACTCGCGATCCCTGTGGAAAGCGTGGTTGTGTATGGTCAGTAGCTAGGGGGTGTCGCGGGTCTCGATCCTCTTGCGGTGTTTGAAAATATAGTTGCAAGTCAGTTGAGTGGCAAAAGGTCGGCACTCACTCAAATTATGTGTTAGTGCTGCTGGACAGAAGTAGGTGAGCGGGGGGAGGGGGGGGGAGGAGGGAGGTAAGAGCGGGAGTGTACTCCCTATGCCAGCGTGCATCTGAAGGTAAGGGGATGCGTCCCTAGGAGTACGGTATTTGTGTCAGTGTGAGAGGTAAACAGCAAAAAGAAAAACATCAAATATAAAATAGAAAACAAAGCGAGGCAAAAAGAGCGAAAGCAGTGTAAGCCATATAACAGGCAACAACATAAAGAAATATAAATATAAAGTAAAGTCACTGGTTTCAGTCCGTGGCCGTTCAGGGCACAGCAGTTGTGGCGGGATCTTCCCGCATAGCAGCAGGAACAAACGGGCGGACCCTATTGGGGTCCCAGGCGATCGGCCGTGGAACCGGAGCAGAGGTCTGCGATCCCTCCGGAGTGGTTGGAAGCCCGAGGGTCTGCAGCGTGCTGGATATTTCGTCCGCCCCCAGTACTCTCATTGTCCCGGATTCTTGGGTGATCAGAAGGCTCCTTGGCGTTCCCCACCTGTAAGGCACCTGGAATTTTGTGAGTATCGACGTTAGTGGTTTCAGGGATCTCCTCCACTCTAAGGTTGCTCTAGAGAGGTCCGGAAAGAAAGTCAATTGGTGTTCCTCAAAAGAGAAGGGCGATTTGTTACGAGTGGCCGCCATGAACGCCTGTTTTGTCAAGGCTGTTTCTAAAGTGGATTATGACGTCCCGATACCCTCCTGTGGCATTTGTAGGTGGCGCTGGAAGTCTGTAGCTGCCGTCTAGGTGCATGGTTTTGGCTTGTTTGGCTGAGAATAGTTGGGTTAAGAGCCTCCGTATCAGGTGAGGCAGTTCCGCTGTGGTAACTGTATCAGGTAGGCCGCGGATCTTTACATTTTTCCAGCGCCTCCTATCCTCTGCTGCGGCCATGCGGTGCTGAATCTTAACTTGTTCGCCTTTCAGGGCGGCGAGTTCTCGCTCAAGTGTTGCGAGCCTTGTCTCGTGGCCTGCAGTTGTTACCTCCGTATCGTGGAGGCGGGCTGAGACTCCTTTAATTTCATCCCGGAATGTGGAGATGTCTGTGGCGATGTTACGGCGTAGTTCATCTAGGAGGGACTTTAGGGTGTTCTCTGTCACCGGTTCCCCAGGTCGTCGGTCAGACCGTTTGTCAGGTCTTTTACTGTGTGCCGGTGCCTCCAGGTCTCTCAGATCGGTGAGGGAAGCTTCGCTGGATGAGCACGACGGCCCATCTGTGAGAGGCGCCATGTCAGGCCTCATGGAGCCCTGAGGCCTCCAAAGGAGATCGCCGATATCGGCAGTTGTCAGGGGTTTATCAGCCCGATATTTTTTTGACTTGCGCCCCATCGTGGTTACAAGCTGTAGCCCGGCTGTGGTCCAAATTTTCAGGGTAAAACATGTTTTTTTTGCTCTTGTGGCTATTGTGAAGTCGGAGCTCTTGCAGGACGCGTCCGTTCGCTTAGGCAGCTGGCTCCGCCCCCCTGATCATCTTCTTTTAAAACTGGATTTCTGTAAGGTAAATTAGCCCCTTAAGGACGGAGCCAAATGTACACGTTGTGAACGAAACAAAATGTATTTGCATTTGCGCTATATGTCTGTCCAACCGTAATTCACCTCTTTCATATTGAATACACCCACCCTTATTATATATAATTTTATTCAGGGGAAACAGGGCTTTCATTTAATATCAAATATTTAGCTATGAAACATAATTTAATATGAAAAAAATGGGAGAAAATAAGATTTTTTTTATTTTAGTTCTACATGACATTTTAACGGTCAATGTCATAATACGGTTTGCTTTTACTGCAATAAAATACATATATTTGTATTCAGCAAAGTCTCACGTGTAAAACAGTACCCCCTATGTACAGGTTTTATGGAGTTTTGGGAAGTTACAGGGTCAAATATAGCACGTTACATTTGAAATTGAAATTTGCCAGATAGATTACGTTGCCTTTGGGACTTTATAGTAGCCCAGGAAAGAAATTTACACCCATAATGGCATATCATTTGCAATAGTAGACAACCCAAGGTATTGCAAATGGGGTATGTCCAGTCTTTTTTAGTAGCCATTTGGTCACAAACACTGGCCAAAGTTAGTGTTAGTATTTGTTTGTGTGTAAAAAATGCAAAAAACGCCAATTTTGGCCAGTGTTTGTGACTAAGTGGCTACTAAAAAAGACTGGACATACCCCGTTTGCAATACCTTGGGATGTCTACTATTGCAAATGGTATGCCATCATAGGGGTAATTTTCATTCTTGGGCTACCATAGGGTCTCAAAGGCAACGTAACCAATCTGGTAAATTTTAATGTGAAAAAAATGAAACACAAACCTTATATTTGACGCTGTAACTTTTGAAAACACCATAAAACCTGTACATGAGGGGTACTGTTGTACTCGGGAGACTTCGCTGAACACAAATATTTGTGTTTCAAAACAGTAAAAAGTATCGCAGCAATAATATCGTCCGTGTGCTGTTTGTGCATGAAAAATGAAAAAACTTCACTTTTACTGGCGATATCATCGTTGTAATACATTTTACTGTTTTGAAACACTAATATTTGTGTTCAGCGAAGTCTCCCGAGTAGAACAGTACCCCCATGTACAGGTTTTATGGTGTCTTGGAACGTTATAGGGTTAAATATAGTGCTAGCAAATTAAATTCCCTATACTTTCGGCATGGGTTGTCAGGCAGGTCCCGCTAATTGTAATTAATTAAGATACCTAATTATGTAAAAATATTATAAATATATATGTAGAATTAATATATGTGTGTGTGTATAAATATATATGTAGAATTAATATATATATGTGTGTGTGTATGTATATGTATGTGTGTGTGTGTGTGTGTATATATATATATATGTATATATATATATATATATATATATATATATATATATATATATATATATATATATATATATATATATATATATATATATATATATATAATTTTATTTTTTTTATATATATTCTTTATTTTTGTTGTGCAAAAATGGTTACAAACAGGCCTGCAGTGCCACGACGGCAGTAACAAGCAAATCAAGGCATTCAGTATTATGACATAGGATTGAATTGCACAATTTTAAACAGGTAAAAACATGGTAATGTAGGTCTCTGCAGAAGATAAGCAGGTAAGAATGGTACAAAACAGGTATTTGCACTGGCATTTTTGGTATTGAAAAAAGAGAAAAAAAAAAAAAAGAAAGAAAAAGGAGTAGTATTATAATAAGAGCATACTTCACAAGTATAACCAGCTTCTGGATTATATGTTAGTTTAGGATTGTATATAAACGGGTTATCGTTCAGGCAATTTACACATTTCGTACCATGGGAAGCCTGTTGGGTAGATATGGGCCTTAATGTTAGGTTGCAAGCTATGTGGCTGCTGGTGAAGGTTGCCCCGTGTATAAGTGTGTGGGTCGAAAAGCAACAACATGCTTTCATGCCGCTGGGTTGGGGCCAAAATACAGTAGTTATAGGCCACAAATACCACTGGGTAAGACAATGTGTATGGGGATTAAAAAGGGACAAAATAAAAATAAAAAAAAAATCTAAGAAACAGTAGTACAATCGTGTTACCATAGCTTTAACTGGTTGAGCCGGACCTCTAGCTGTCTGAGCTCGAATTGTATTATGGGAGCTGTAAATCAGGCTGTGAGCTGTATCTCTGGTACTTGCTATGTACCTTTAGTGTTAAGGTGTGTCGCTGGGCGTTTTGCCTCTTAGTAGCTACTAGATCTTGTGCCGGAGATCCTACTGGAGAGATCTGATTGGGATCTTTGGTGTTCTGTGGGGCTGTGAAGACCCTGGGTGGTGAGGAGTGGGCTGTAGGGGTTTTGAGTAGCTGCCCTGTAAATAATGTGTCGCTTTAGTGTTAGGATTGTTGGGAGCCTATACGTACCTGAGTGGGCATCTAGCAGTGCGTGAGTGAGGCGGTGAGCAATTGTTGCCTACACTGGATTTGGGAGATAGTGAGGCTCGTGCTTGGTGTTCCCCTAACCATGGGGGATGCGGGGGGGATGGGTGAGTGGTAGGCTCCCTTACTCGCTGGGTTGGGTGCTGTAACTCCCCTCCTATGTGTCCTATCTTAAGAAGACCCCGATAGTGAGGCAAGCATTTGTAAGTGTATCAAACAGGGATAAAAACTTGTAACAAAATACTTGTACAAAAACAGTGATAATGCGGCCCTTGGTTGTTTACGTGAGCCGTGTTTAGGTATTCAGTCCTGTTCCCTTCCGTGGTTCGTGTTGTTGGCGTCCTGGGGTGAAGGGGACTATGGTGGTCGGGTCCCATGAGTGGGTGCTGGCTGAGTCATCAGGAGGTGCGGAGAGTCCCATTCTCCCAAATAGGGCTGGAGCTTCCTCTGCCGAGAATATAGTGTGAGCTGTCCCGTTGTGGAGCACACTGAGCGATCTTGGTGGGGTCCAGCGGTATGCTATTCCAGCATTCCTGAGCCGGCTTGTTACTGGGAGCATTGTGCGCCTCCACTGTAAGGTGGACCGTGATAGGTCTTGATAAAATGACAGACCTGAGCCCTCAAACTGGTAGGGTGTGTGGTCCCGTAGTGCTGCCAGGAGTGTCCGCTTGTTTTGTGCGGATGTGCAGTGGATGAGGATGTCGCCGACAGCCTGAGATGGGGCCCTGGCTGATTTCGGTAGGCGGAACATACTGTCGATCGTTACTTTTTTGGCTTGTGTTGGAGGTAGGAGTGAGGTTACTAGGCGCCTTAAATAATGGGGCAGTTCTTCCATTGTAATAGTTTCAGGTACCCCCCTGATTTTCAGGTTATTGCCCCTGGAGCGATCATCTAACGTAGTAAGTTGTAAGGAGAGTGCCTGTTGGGCTTTCCTCACTTCCTGGAGCGAGTCTCCCATGTGGGATACAGCTTGCTTCACATCTATGATGTCTTCTTCTGTGCTATGGACCCTGTCAGTCACCATTTGCAGATCTGTCTGTATCACTGCAATATCTGCTGCCCAGGTCTGCCTAAAGTCAGCTAGAAGTGCTTTAATGTCCTGCTTAGTGGCTAGCTTGGAGAAGTCAGGGTAAGGTGGTGCTGTTTGCTCATAACCTTGTTGCTCAGATTGAGGCTGTGTCTCCTCCTGTGTGGGAGTCTGAGGTGTACTGGTGATTGTACCTGCTTCCAGCGTCGCCATTTTGCTTTGGGCCTGTTTCTGGAGCATGTCCCCAATGTCTCTAGAATCTCCTGGTGTCCCCAGCGGTGGTCTTTGCGATCTCCTCCCCATTTCGGGTAGTAGCACTGGCGTTGGGGTTGCAGTTGGCTGTGCTCTTGTGCCCAGTATCTGGGACGGATTCTGCCACTCCTCGAGGCCGAGGCCTGGGGGGAGGTGGTAGGCCGCAAGCCTCCTTTTCCGCCGTTTCAGCCCGGGTTGCAGAAAAAAAGGCATGTACCGGCTCCGTGCGTCGTGCCGGGTGGAGTCTACCTGTTGTGGCAGTCGGATGGACACAGATGCCCCTGATTTTGGGTGGATTAGGCAGTTTATCTCCGGAGCCGTGAGTAATGGCGTCCGCTCTGGTCCGCGGTTAAGCCCCGCCCCTTTTTTATTTATTTATTATATATAGGTATATAGTGATATATACGTATATATTTACGTATATAGATATATATTATTTCATTCTACATGTATTTTGATATAAATATATATATTAATATCACAATACAGTTAGAACGAAATAACATACATCTATATATTTTTTAATTATTTATTTTTAATAATTTTTTAAATTTTACTTTTTAACGTATTTACATATTTTTTTTAATATTATATATAACAATAATTATATATATTTAATCAGTATCAGTCTATGTGTAATTTGATATATATATAATATATAGAATTAAAGTGTGTGTGTATGTATGTATGTATATATATAGTGATATATACGTATATATATATTATTTCATTCTACGTGTATTTTGATATAAATATATATATTATTACAATACAGTTAGAACGAAATAACACACATCTATATATTTTTTAATTATTGTTTACACTTATTTTATTTCCAGCCAGCAGGGGGACCACCTGTCATTACAGGCAGCCCCCCTGCTGACAATGCAGGAGACAGCTATCCCGGCCATGTGATTGTGAGGTCCTCGCAAGGACCTCACTCTCACATGGTCGGGGGAGCTGCCAGGGGGTCGGACGTGCTGCGGGGGGCTCCATGGGAGTCCCCCCAACCGCGATCGCTGGCGTGGGATCGCCGGTGACCGGGTAAGTATAGAAAGACCGGAGGGCGTACTATTACGCCCGGCGGCGTTTAGAGCCGCCTAAAATAGGGCGTAATAGTACGCCCTCCGGTCTTAAGGGGTTAACTTACTATGGCCCTGATTTTTTTATATTTTAGGATAAACGTATAAAATGAGTTAATATGAAAAAATAATTAAAGCAACCCTATATTCACCAAAACAACTTTAGCTTAATGAAGCAATTTTGGTGTATAGATCATGCATTAGAACTTTTGTAAATAAACAGAAACAAAAGTGATTTAACTCCTAAATGGCAGAGAATTGAGCAGTGAAACTACAGGGGCATGATCTATACACCAAAACTGCTTCATTAAGCTAAGCTTTCTCTGGTGGTACAGTCAGCTGTTTTATAATCACTACCATGTCATCCTAGGCCTTAATACTTTTTTTTTTCAAGGTGCAAGCTAAACCAGGTAGATTATACTATTCTTCATATACTATTATAAAATTGTGTGTAATTTCCTAATGTCCCACGCTGTTATAACTGCCTTTTTACAGTACTTGCTCTGGGTGTTGTAGCATTGCACGTCTGACTGTATTATTTTCTCCATGCACAGCAAAAATTAAGATTTAAAAAAAATAATAATAAATCCCTGCCCCAGTAAGGTTGGCCTATCATTGAAGCAGATGATGGGTCCTAGGGAGGGGCCAGGCTTTTGTCAACCTGCTTCAAAAAAAAAAAAAGTTTCAGAGAAAGCTGGGGGAAGATACGCATAGACTGACAACACTGTAACCATGACATTGATATGTTAAAGTTATGGTGCTTAAAGTGGCCCTTTACAAGTTAACAAGAGAACTTGTAAAGGGCGACTTTTTGTTTATTTATGAAAACTATGTTATATAATCTGATAAAGACTGAAAACGGTTCTGTAACATTTTCGGTTTATAGCACAAAGCTTTAGAGATATGACTTTGTATGTGAGGAACTTAAAATTTAAGGTCTTCAATGAGCAAACTAGTTTAGTGGCTATGTGTCTGTAGTCTGACAGCCACTGGAGGCCATTTATGGTCAAATTTAAACAATGTCAACCTGCAGAGACAGGGTCTCTACCCCAAAAACCACTTCAGTATTATATTGTTTTGGTGTTTGCTATGTCCCTTTAACTTCCTGTCAATAAAGAAGCTTCTATTGGCATCTTTTCCTACTTGCTTCTGCAGTATGATAAAATTGCCCCTGCTAGATACAATCATCTTATCCCAAGACATATTGTAAAACAACACATAAAACATTATTTAAAAACATGATGGAGACTTTAAATATACATTGGATACATAACCAGAACTTTACCTTATTAATTATGCTGTTCCATCTCAACAAAGCTTTTAAAGAAAATTTTAAGCATGCTAAACAATAGAAACCAATCAGGTTTGCAGTTTTCTGCTTTCTTTTGTAATTTCTATCAAATACATACATAGACATGCTGAAAAAGCTTTTGTTTAAATATGTTAGATCATATAAGATGTTTTTGGGAGATTGTTTTCACCTATTTGAGAAATATCAAAATTTGATATTGTATGTATCTGAAAACCTTTTCTTAATCTATTACACCTCTCTTCCCTGTAGGTTGATAAGGCAGGATGGAGTCTAGATGATGTGGACCTATTTGAAATAAATGAGGCTTTTGCTGCTCAAGCTTTAGCAGTGACTAAAGAGTTAGGACTAAACCCCAAAAAGGTAAGTTAAAATGGGCCTTTATTGTCCCAATCCAAAATATTCACATTGTATATCACCTTTGATTGTATACTCCTCTGAGTAGCTTTGCTGTAGATATAACTCATAAAGCTGAGCTGTGCCATCAAAGAGCAGGAGTTCGAGACACGCAACCAGTCCCATTAGATAACAAAAGGCTACATTGTGTACTGCTACAGGTGAAATTCCAGTCACATTAAACCTAAAAAGTCCTAACTCAGAAATAAAACAGGGCCTGTGGGAAATCCCTAAAGAGAGATATATATATATATATATATATATATATATATATATATATATATATATATATTTTTTATTATTATTTATTTATTTGTGCTCGGAATTTCTAATACCTAATGGAATGTAGAAGCAAAGTTGGTAGAGGTGGGTCGAAACCAACGTACGAGTAGGCCTGTGATAAGAGGGCAAAAGATGATTCAAAGAAAACACACTTTATTACAAGTTTATACAGCGAGAGTACTGAAAGCTTGTAAGGAGCTTTTACCCTGATTGAGGTATATATGTAATTGAGCTGACGATTACGTGTGGCCCCATCACTTAGTGATGTAGACTGGGGTGTAAGAGCTAGAAGCTGCTGATGCAGCGCTTTTGTGAAAAAGAGAGACCAGCGAAGGAAGCCATGCTGTAGCTCATCTTAAAGGGAAACTCCAGTGCCAGGAAAACAATCCGTTTTCCTGGTACTGCAGCTCCCCTCTCCCTCCCACCCCCCGGTAGCCCGGTCACTTACCTAAGACTCCGCCGATGTCCCTTAGCGGTGGTTTCTGCTTGCCGCCGCTCCTCCGAGTGATTCCGTCAGCCGGTGGGCGAGACTGATTCTGCCCGCTGGCTGAGGAAACCTAATGCGCGCATGTGCATTAGAGCTCTCCAAAGGAAAGCATTGAAAATGCTTTCCTATGGGGAATTGAGCGACGCTGGAGGTCCTCACACAGCGTGAGGACGTCCAGCGACGCTCTAGCACAGGTGATAGGGACACAGAAGTGCCCTCTAGTGGCTGTCTAGTAGACAGCCACTAGAAGTGGAGTTAACCCTGCAAGGTAATTATTGCAGTTTATAAAAAAACTGCAATAATTACACTTGCAGGGATAAGAGTAGTGGGAGTTGGCACCCAGACCACTCCAATGGGCAGAAGTGGTCTGGGTGCCTACAGTGTCCCTTTAATGGAAGGTTTAGACGTGAAGTGATGCATTAGGACTGATAGTGTGTGGTTGACCTTGGAGACATAAAAGCGGAGTGACCGCATAGGAGGTATAAGTAAGATGCTTGAGTTGTAGGATTAGAGAAAGAGGCAAAAATTAACATAGTTTAACTGCAAAAAGTCTTGAATCAAGCAAACTCTACTTGTGCCATGGTACAATATACAAAGCCCTGGCGTGAGAGATAGCGTAGTCGTGAAACCGCGTGAAGCGTGCGTACCTGTACCAGGTGTAATTGTGTGCTTAGTCCAAGATAAGCTCATGGAATGGTGGTATCCTAGATGGTAGGTACTGGGTCGTAGGGAGTGCCTGAAAGAAGACCTTAAATTGGGCGTAAAAAAGTGTCAGTGGCTGTGTTGTGAACATTAGGAGTGTAAAAGCAGAGTAGAAAGAACTGAGAGGTTGCTGCCAGCCAAGTCAGCCTGCGAATCAGCCCCAAAATGGTAAGCGAGGATGACCGCCCTTGTTAATGATGTCGCAGGCTGCGGAGTTGTCAGAGCAGCATTTAACTGCCTTGCCGGTCTAAAGATGACCCCATGTGAGGGTGGCCACCACGATGGGGTAGATCTCTGACAAAGTCTCTCTAAAGGCCCGAAAATGGCTGCGAATCCTGTATGTGCTGCTGCGTCTGTGTGAATTGAAAGGGAGTGTTCTGAAAGTGGGGGAATGAATGAAGAGATCTTGATCCATGGCCAAAAGCTACTCCAAGTGTGTAAAACTGCCCTGGCTGGATCGTCCCGAATGTTTGGGCAGGAGTAGGCACCTCGTGGAGCAAATTAAGTAGCCCAGGGACAAGAGACCTACTCTGCAGAATTATAGCCTAGTGACAGAGGGACCCCGAGTGTCGTGAAAAGGAAGCTGTGGTGGTGTGAACATTGTTAGGTGTTTGTGAACCTGTTAAAACAACAACAAATTCATCCAGATAGTGGATGACTAATGGACACCTGAATATTTTTAGGAGTGGCCAGCAGAGGGTTTGTGCAAAGATGTTGAATACTTAGGGCTGCTCCGAGAGCCCAATGTAGGCCAGGTGCCATAGTGAAGGGTGAATAAGTAGTAGATTAAAGGAGTTGGATAAGTCTGTCTTGCTACCTGCTGAAGTGATAGCTTGCATGGCATCATCGATTTGCGTAGTGCAGTGAGAACTCCTTAGCGGGAATGAGGGAGTTGATGCTGGGAATCGATGTAGAGTGCGGTAGAGGTCTATGATCAGATGTATTAGGGTATTGTGAATGGCTACCTCGATGGGATTGGTACGCCAAGATGAGAAGTGTGAAATGTGGTCCACCGTAAGTGGGTTCAATGGATGCAGATATAGGGCATATGAGTGTACCAGTGGGAATGGCGATAAGGCCCATGTGAAACCCCTCCCCAGAATCTACCAGCTGCCTAGCTGGGTGTAAATGCAGATAGTAATCTAGGATAACAATGTTAACCTTAGTCAGGCGTATCTTAAGTGACAGACAGGCTGTATATGTGGACTAGGTGTGGGCTCTGGAGCAGATGTGCGATACTCTACATGTAGTGAAATAGCATGCCCCAGCATTAAAGTGATAGAGCGCCCGAGCCTTACCCGGAAATGAAATGGTCAGCCCAGCTTGTCCCTCTGCCCGCCTCCCTGTCTAGTGCGTGGGGTGAAGGAGTGGTGAAAAGTGGAAGTGGCTGGCTCTATGCGAGAGGCAATGACAAACTGAGGAATGGAAAGCTTTGTTATGTCATGGGTATCACACTTTAGGACTACTGAAATGTCACCATAAATATAACGTTTGTACTGTAGGGTGTCTTGGGAAGTTAAGTAGTGATGTTCGTTTAACGTCCTTTCCATCGAGAATTAACTTCTCCGTGGAAATTGGAACAGAGTGGGCCGGTGAGACGTATGGAGTAGTGATAGTGGGTGGTGGGGGACGGAGAGGGGAAATGAGGGGTAAGTCAGACTGTATGACCGAGATCGCCAGGGGAGGGCCTGCCGGGCTTAACGAGACACCTAGCTGATTCCACTTACCAGCCTGTTGATCGTTTGGAGGCTGGCCGGGATAGTGAACGGGGTCTCCTGAGTGGCGGCCCTTGTGAACTAGAGCCGGGCCTGGGGACGTTGGCCTGAACCGTCGTGAGCCTGTGTAGTTCGGCTGGAGAGGTGATACCCCTGAGTCTGAGCTCTTCAGATATTTTAAGAATGGTCCAGAATCCCAGGTAACTGAGGGTAGAAGGAGAGAGGGATTCCTTTGGAGAGACCCAGGCCTGACTGACGTGCTGGGTATTTTGTCCAATAGCAGACCAAATATTGGAATGGATTCTTGTGACATTCTGAAAAAGGAATAATGATTTGGATAAGTAATGTGTCTTAAAGGTGTGGATGAGACCTTCGGGGAACTGGCCTGCTAGCTAGTGCCGAGGCGAATAATTTACCTAGAACCAAGTGGCGGAGAGAGGCTCTATGATTTGGGAATTTTTTGTGGCCACTTGAACGTAGTACAGGGTGTTGGCCTCTCGGTGACCGTAAGAGATTCAAAAAGTGTGGCCGTGACTTGGGAAGACCTAACTGTAGCCCTAAAGAAGGGCGGGTGAGGTAGCTAACTCTGATTTGGTTGTGGGGCTGACACTCCGTATATGAGGTGGGGGTGTAGACCTCGCGGGACCGTGGTATTACTTAGGATAGCTAAGGCCAACGCCTAACCCTCAATGCCAGTTCACTAGCCTGATGGGGCTTGTCTCCTTGAATGGTGTAATGGAACATATGTATATACTTAACCTTGAGTATTGTCCTATCTTTGGTCAATGCGCAGGAGAATTATGATATATTCTTGCTTCTGCAGGGAACGGGTCCGGTCAAGATATCTTAAGGGTAATAAAGATGCTAGAGAGCCTGCGGCGTGCCACTGGTATGCCAAGTGTAAAAAATGTCAAACATATGGGTATAGTGTAATCGTGAAACTGTAACGTAAGAACCCGTGTACGATGAGGGACCTGAACGTTGGTCCGTAAGTAGAGACAAGCCCCCTGAGATCCCCTGATTGGGGAATTTACATGATATGAAGGCGAAGTGAGGCCTGAAGGAGAACGTAATTGTAGTGAGTAAGATTTAACAATACCTGAGACTGAAATGCATGGAACTAGGTAGTCTTGTTGGTGGTTGATGCCGTGTAACTTGGCGAAACTGCGGAAATGACACAGGTCTGAGAGAAGAAATGTAGAAACAATAGACAAGAAATTAACCGTTTAAATAAGTAGTAGCAAAGTGGTGTAGGTTTGTGTGATTGAGGTTTTAAATGCCGTGAGTAATCTCAGATCTGGCCTGTTTGAAGTTTAGAACCCACTTTGGGAGGTGGGGAGGCTGAATGAGGCCTCGAGGGGAAAAAGAGAATTGGTAAACTTTTTTTACCTGATACAGTAATGCAGGATACTGGGATACCACTTACCTTGAAGACTGTTTGGAGGAAAGTAGTAAAAACCTAAAAACATATGCAGTCTAAGTGTAAGGAACCCGTATATAAGGACTTTTAAGGAACGGAGGTTTTAAAAACGTACAAATGGTCTGTAATGAGCCTGGTGAAAAAGGACCGTAATGGCTTAACCTATGAGCGGAGAGACCTTAGTTGCGTAGAAGACTAGTACATTAGGGAAAGTACAATAGACTAAGTCCCAGCAGAGTTAGATAACAATGCCTGGAGGTGTATTTTATTTTATTTTTTTTATAATTCTTTATTTTTGTTGTGCATGGGTTTACAGCAGTGCTTGTATAGCCACAACAGCTTCCACAAGCGCATTATTATTTGAACATAGGTAAGTTATGCGTTAAAACTTGCACATTTTTACATTTAATGAGTTGTATGAACAAGCTAAGTAATCTCCTATATGAGATTTGCATCTAATAGATAGATTGTATGTGTTAGACAAGTATGCCTAGTTTGATTGGGTGTAGGTTAGCGTTTTGTCTGAGATGGTCTAGGCGCATGAGGAGGAGATTTTGCTTTTCATCATCTTAAGTTAGGTCAGGCTGAAGAAGCCCTGTGTAGGTGCCATATAGTGATCCCTTGGGGGGGGGGGATTGTCACTTAAGGGTTCGGGGGTATTGTGTATGTTGCTTCTCTGTGGGTAGGTCACGTTTTGCATCTGACTGAGTAGGCTCTATACTGAGCTGGTTGCCAGGGTGTGTGGTATCAGGGTTGCCTAGTGAGCATCAGGTGAGTTGGTAGGTCTCGTGCCTGAGGGTTAGTGTATAACTAGTGTAGGGAAGAGAGTGAGGGTGTGGGTATATACGCTCCATTGTGTAGTTCGCCCACTCCTGAGGGGGGTATTTGTTGGGGATTATGGGGGGTAATCGCCATCTCGGTCGTGTAATTGTCAACCCAAATTCGGGTTTTCATGACTAGCCGTCGTGTGGTTTAAAAACATAAACTGAAGCATTAATGCTAAACGTTGAACACATTTTAAACAGTAGGGCTTTGTTGGGGTGTTCGGCTGTCTTGTCGAGTTGCGTTTAAGTATTTAGTGTTCAGTCCTGCTAAGGCTCCATTTCCCCTGATGTGGCGGCTCTCGGTGTGAATATGGCCGTGTTCACTGGGTCCCAGGCTTTGGATGGTTTGTCTTGTGTTCTTACGGTCTGGCCTGCTATGCCTAGTGATGCAAGGTATATCTGCCCCTGCTTCTAGTGTGTGGACAGTCCCGTTATGCGTAGCATACAGCGTTCCAGGGGGGCCCCATCTGTATGTCACCCCAGCTGTTCTGAGTTGGGAAGTGATCGGTGCCAATGATTTGCGCCATTGCAGTGTGGCTCGTGTGAGGTCCTGGTAGAAGGTTAGAGAGGCGCCTTCAAAGGACAGCGGTGTTTTACCCTTCAGGGCTAGCATAATCTGGGCCTTATCCTGAGAGGTGGCGCAGCGGAGTATGACGTCTTGCATTTGGCCTGGTTTTGCCGTGGGTGAGCCTGGTAGTCGAAATGTTCCTTCAATGGTTAATTTCCTGGTCACTGGGTGAGGTAAGATGGTCGCCATCAATCGCCTGGCATAGTGTGGTAGTTCATCTGCGCTAATGTTAGCAGGGACTCCCCTTATCTTAACATGGTTGCGGCGTAGTCTGTCTTCAAAGGCCGTCAGCCTGAGCGACAAGGTTGATTGGTGCACTTGGAGCTGAGTAACTGTGTCTTTAATTGTGGTCAAGTCAGAGTTAATGCTGCCGATGTTTGTTTCAGCTTGTTACTCGGCCTGTGACTGCCTGTATGTCTGCTTTTATTTGCTGGAGGTCTGCAGCCCAGACCTTGTGTATGTCTGCCAGCAGTGCCTTTAAATCAGCTTTGGTAGTGGGAGCTGTGCCATCATAGGGCTCTTGGGATGGGGCCTGATCTGTCTGCAGGGCTTGTGTGATCCCTACCTCATCACTCTGCCTCGTGGCTTCAATGTGTGTAGGCTGCAGTACCTCTGTGGAGGGTGTTTTGCCCGGCGCCGGTCGTTGCAGCATGGTGCCAATATCCCTGCACTCTGCCGCTGTGTGTGTGGTTTTTGGGACCGACGTCCCATTGCTGGCATTTGATGTGGGGATGAGGTGTCTGGGAGTTGCAGGCTGTGTCCCACTCTGCCGATTGCGAGTAGGTCGTCCAGGCTGTAGGCTGGCGTTGCGCAGTAGGCCCCAGACCTGCGTTTTATTTTTGCCTGTCTGGGCGGCTGGAAGAACGGCATCGACGGATGCAGGAACTCTCGGTGAGGTAGGGCGGCCGGGTTGCGTCGTCTTATGGGGTTGGATGCCCGCGATTTTCGGTGGGTTTTAGGCGAATTGCGGGGAGCTGGCTGAGATGGCCGGAGGTGTATTTTATTAACATAACTTATAAGTGAAAGTGGCCAAACTGTGCCTTTGAGAAGATTACCCTGTAAAAGATAGGTGTCCCATAATTATGTGACCATGGACGGGAATTAGTGAAGCACATTATTTAACCAGTGTGACTTTAAGAGCCATATAATAAAACTCATAAATTCATATAGGATAAATAATGTGAGTGCTTAGTTTAAGTGAATGGCATAACTAGGTACATTTACAGCAGATTTGTGAATTTAAACACTGTAGCCTCTTGCGTTCGGTTAAACTAATGAACAGGAGAACTGTAAAGAGAAAGATCTGCGTTCGGTTAAATGGAGCATACGAACTGATTAAAATGTAAGCCAATTGTCTACGTGGTTGGCTGAACGAGCGAACGAACGGATGAAACAGTCTAGCGCAAGTTTGTTTAGTGCAGTCGGTAGTTAGCTTATACGAAAGGAGTGTGTAATGAAGGGAGCCTATCCCCGCGTTTTTAGGCCCGAACGTGGGAAATAAACTAACGCCATTTCCCACGTTTATGCTTGCGTGGATGTGCCGGTCTCGAGACCGGACACCGGGTAGAGAGTAGCGAAGTCAGGTAGAAGCCGGTGGACGGGCACGGAAGCAGGAGCTGCTGGCGACTGACTGCTTGCTGGAAACTTGGCGGGAAAGTCGAACCGGAAGTGCAGGTAACTATGGAGACTACAAACAGCTTGCACGACAAAGGTAAGTAGATGGGTAGGGTTTAAATAGGATCATTACGCCTATATATATATATATATATATATATATATATAAAATTTCATTTAACATTTTTCTTACATCCCACCAGTAGACCCATATCAAAGGAACACTGTTTGCACAAAAATATTTACAGCTCTGTGTAGTTATTTTTAAAAATTCTTTATTTAGTACTGCACAAGCAATATAAATTCAGCATACACTTTTCTTGACTAGATGTTTTCAAAAACAGTAGGTTAGTGCAAACAGCCCGAACAAAATAATATAACAGAATAACATAATATTGCAACAGTAGTGGGTCCAAGTACCACTACACACCCCCCTTCGGATGCCACCCCTCACCAACAATCATTTTAATATCCCAGAGACATTCAGCTGTAGCACACCATCGGCATCACTCGAAACACATTTTGTGCAGTGAAATATCTCAAATGAACACAAGTTAAAGTGCAGGAACTCGTAAGAGTTGGCATTAAGTAGCGTTTTTGAGTTTACCCCCTCCACCTTGTTTTGAAGTCGTACTCAAAAATTGACACACCTTGAAAAAAGATTCTAAAGATCAGATTGGATGTCATTGAGGGGATTGCTCATATACTGGATATATTTGCAATTATTTATCACTTTTTTGTACACTTTGAGGTGTATTCTATTTCTAATATTTTTGCATTATGCATTGCTCACTTTTGTTTGTTTGCAGTGTTTGTAAAAGGTGGAATTAGGATTAGTTCCACGGTGTTAACGAGCTGCACATTATTTTTAAGCGCCAATCATTTCACACATTAAGTTACACAATATGTTCAATTCTATCTACACCATATGACTCCCACCTAGTAAGCAAACATACACCAATACGGAGTTCTCCCTGCAAAGCATTTGTAGGCAGTCCCAAACTATAATACCGGTGTACCTCATGGGAAAAATCTAAATGATAAAATTCCATAAAACATCACACAAAAGGGGCAAGCGTATAACCCAAAACAATCTGCAATACAAATATCAAAGGTAGTGTAATATGATCAAGGCACAATATAATAAATAGTGGACTATTACACTTACAAACGCAAGTAGTTAGCAGGCAGGGCAAATAATCACTGTGTTCATAATCTTTTGCGTTCGAACTCCCAGTATTCTCAGTAGTGCATAGAATGGAATAAAGTGACACAGTACAAAACTGTATAATATTAAAAACAACATTTTAATAATATTGCACTCTCAAATTTCCAAAAGGATAAAAGGCACATCAACAAAATATACTTGTTACAGGATCCACTGCAAGAGGAACCATGTTCCAGTTCGTTTGGTTACTGGAGGAATCCCATCACACAGTAAAACAATATGTTCAAAAAAATCAATCACGCTATTGCGTGGACTTCCTCAGGCGTATTCAAATTAGTCTGCAGCCTGACTAAAGAGGTGCGGAAACATGAGATTAAAATAGATAGTACAGTTTAGGAGTGAGGATACCCAGCCATATACACACACGATGTCTCAAAGTAACTTTCTGTGTAATCTCCTGTAGACACATTCCCAAATATCAGAGAATAGCAAACACTGGTGTAAGAGAGACAAAGCACATCAGATACTACTTCAGCAGTATGAAGACTCCCTAGCTAAAATCCAGTCTTTTGACACAGGGGGTTAGGACCTTCGGAGGGTAGTTGAAGTTCTCTGGTACTTAGAAGCTTACAAATTTGTGTAGATAACCTTGCGGAAGAGGGGCTACAGTTTTGCCATTGTGGAAAACAAACATTTTTAAAAAGTACCCCCATGCAAATGGGATATTGTTGGAGCAAGGATCTGCGTAAGATTTCCATGCCCTGAGTTTCTGCAGCATAAGTGGGGGACATGTCTTGGAAGGGGGCTTATCCTTATATGGGAGTACCTTTATATGCAATACCTCGGCATCATTTGATGATGGCATCCCTGGTAGAATAAATAAGGAATTTTACTATAACATCCCAGGGCTGCTCACCTTCTCTCCTGTGTGTGGTCAATCTGCCAGATGTCCTCTGGTATCTCTGGAAGCAAAGGCCAAAATATATCCAGTACAATAGGGCCCAGCGGTTCCTCTTGGCTGTCTTCTTGCATCTCACGCATGTGGATGTTATTCCTTTTCAATTTGCTAAGTCTTCCAGTAGCATTTCAGCCTCCTCTAACATAGCGCTTCTGTCGGTGTGGTCAGTGGCATCATTGTGGGCAACTTCCTACACTCTGGACTCCAACTCAGCAGTGCAAGTTCACTGCGCCTGAATTTCAGCTTCCACTTCTGATGCCCTCTGTTCAATCTCCCCAGCCAGGTGCAGACTTTGTGAAGTATCAGTCAAGCCTGAGAGCAATGTGCCTGAAGCATCAGTGTTTTTTTCCTCCGAAGGCCTTCGTTGGCTAGAGGAGGTGATATCTTGGGTGGCTGCCAAAGTCTGGCAGGCTGCCTGAGAAATGTTGGCAACCGAGGGGTCTTTGTTTAGCACGATAATGAGATGGTTTCAGGTCTTGTAGGTAAGCATCCTTCATTCAGGGTAAAATAGATTTAGCCAAAAACTTATATTTTGTGCGGTTTGCTGCATGATGGGCAGAGCTTGGCAATCAGACTATCATTCCAACTGATGTCCATGTTGACTACTAATGTTTTAAAAGTGAAATGAGGCTTTCTGTAGTGTAGTGGTTTGAGAAGAAAACTGGGTCTCAAAGCCCAAATTCAAGCCCCTCCGGAGTCAATCACCAACAGTGGAAATCACACTTCCTCCATGTCTAAAGCCATTCAACCTTGTTTTAAAATGATTAGGGGAAAGGGAGGGGTAAGGATTCTTTATATACAAAGTTTTGTGGGAGTTCTACATCTTTGTAAAGTTTGTTGTTGCCCTACCCCCCATTTCTACAGTACGTTCTTGACCACTGCATGCTCATTGCAGAGATCGTGGCACTTACTCGAGTAATGCATACATGGTAGTGTTACACTGATAATAATCCAGTCATATACAAACTTGCAACAGAAGTGCAATGGTACCAGTGCATACAACATAGACACAACCATTCATCTGTTAACTGTAGGATTAAGATTTCTGCTGTCAGCAATCTGTGCAATAGTTAGGGTGCCAGAGAGCATCAATATAGGGTGACATAAGGATTCCTTCCAGCAACTATGTGTGCGCGCGTGCAGAGCACCAGCTCTAGAAGGGTTAATATATTGTACCTGCAGCAGTCCTAGTAATGGAAGAGCATTCTCTCTGAAAGTTCAGCTCTCTGATTTCTATTTAGTAACAGTATGTGTGAATAGAGGCCATGTTTTGATTGAAGATTCGAGACATTGGTGGTCACTTGCCAGAAAGTTTGTGCATAACACATACCATTTATTGCCCAGTGTTTAACCAGACTAATAGCCAGTCACCCATCTTTATGCACAAGAAGGGGGTGGGGGTCTAACAATGCCACTTGGAAGAAAACCAAAAATAACATGATATGCACGGTAAGCCAATTGGGATTAGTTATAAAACTAAAGGATATCCCACAGGTATTTTATTATCTATTTGTGTCAATACTCTATAGTGCATTTGCTCTTTTTTGTATTTCAGGTTAACAGTCAAGGTGGTGCAATTGCCCTTGGTCACCCTCTTGGAATGTCTGGGTGTCGCATTTTGGTTACCTTGCTATACGCTTTGGAAAGAACGAGTGGAAAGAAAGGAGTGGCTGCTCTTTGCATAGGAGGTGGCATGGGAATTGCAATGTGTGTTGAAAGAACATGCTGAAATTGTCTGTGCATTATCACCATATAATTTCACTAATTTGAAACAAGATGCAAGACATGTAAAGCTATACTAAGGATTAACATTCCACATATGATCATTCTGGATGGGTGTGTCTAGCGCAACACAAGCACACAAATCCAGTTAGTTTAATAAATGTTTTAAGAAAAACTAACATCTGACTAAAGTCATGGCTATATTTATTTAGAAAGGAGGTGTCTTACACTGTTTGTAAACAAAGTTCAGCTTTAGAACAAACCCCGAAAAAGTTAATTACACAGCTATTTGCTGCTTGTGATATCACTTAAAATGCATTACTTTCTATACAAAACGTTTTACTAAAAAAAAAAAAAAAAACTAGCTTATATACTACCTTACCACTGTTGTCACTCTATGGTTTTTGAAGTGAAGGCTGGAGATTGCATAATCTAGTATTCACTACAAGCTAACATACCAGCTTCCATGAAGCATCCTAGCTTGTCAATGCTCCTAGCCATGCAAATTAGGATGCTACACAACTGTAGCCCTGAAACAGGCTTCACTGCCAGAATGTGCCCATTTGTCCATGAAGCAAGGTAGGTTGGATCTCCCCTGAAAGACTGAAAACTCAGATATTAAAGTAGTCTGCTGCCATTGTCTTTGTAAAGACTCTCCACAGTGACAGCTTGGGGTCTGGTTTCCCAGCAAAGGTAATCTATACTTACCTGAACCTGTCCCTCATGGATGTCTCCCTCCTGCTGCCAAGTAACAGATATCAGTGCTGTACTTCACCCAGTGTCAACATGCTGAGAGGTTCTACTTGGTCTTAGTATATCTTTTGGCTGGATGACATTTCAGTGAAACACAGTCTATTTGCAAAGTCTGAATTTTCACTTTGCCAATGGCTAGTGGATGTTTTGAGGCCTGAGTTCCCTTTCTAGTGTGTCACAGCAAACTGGATTTGTAAAACTCCCATTTGGATGCAAATATTACTGAACCCAAAAGAAATACCAGTAAATTTAGGTTGCCAAGTTACCTTTATTAAAGTGAGTACGCTTAGGTGCAAGACCATACAAGTGCAAGATGAACAATGAAAATGTATTACTTATAAATTAGAGTAATATTGAAGAAAAAAAAAAAATCTCCTCTTGGCCAACTTAACCTTCAATAGACCCAGACTGAACCGCTTCGTGGTATTTTCCTTTATCCTCTTTTGGCTCTGGATGCAATTTAATTAGATCATCAATTCGCAAGATAGTAATTGCAGCTTCTGTTGCAAATTTTAAACTCTTTGTCTTCACCATTGTGGGCTCAAAGACACCAGCTTGCTTGTTATCCCGTGCTTTTCCATTAAGCAAGTCTAGACCAATCCTGCAGGAAGATAATTCATGAGAAGACACATTGGCACAATCACGCTGAGTTGCTATTTTTCCTCGTTACACTTCACCCAGTTACAGCACTGCTATAACTTTTTAAGGTTACAAATCTGTAATTTTTCATTTAGTAGTAATATTCTGAAACTAGACATCACACCCATTGCTGAATGTAGAGTCTTGAAAGCAAGATTAATCCCAAGGCTTTGTAATATTCGCCTCCTTGCTGACATCAGAATTAAATGATTTTGGACAAAGCATTTGACTGGCTGAAATAGACAAGGAGACGGGGGTTGGGGCAATCAGCCAATCAGCTCCTCCTTATAGAAGTCAATGAATCAGTGCATCTCTAGGAGAGAAGTTCAGTGTCTCCATGCAGTGTGTGCAGCACTGCCCCAGGAGGCACCTCCAGTGGTCATCTGGGGAACGTCCAGTGGAGGTGTCCCTAGGGTGCAATGTAAACACTGCTTTTTCTATAAAAAGACAGTGTTGACATAATCCCTGCAGGGTAGGATACTTACAAGAGCAAATGGTGACTATAGTGTCCCTTTAAGTATTTTCACGGACTATTCACTAGTGCACACATTCTAAATTTTACTTATGTTTACAAATATACCTTTATATATAAATTTACAATTCTTAGTTAGAGGTCTTCTAAAAAATGCTTATAACTTTATTTTGTGTAACCTTGCTACAAAAAGGGTAAAGTGACAAGAGTGTTCAGTTGCCAAATATGCCAGGAAGAGTACTTGTAAATGAATACAACTTTAATTTCAAAACTGTACTGTAGAGGCTACATACATTGATGGCCCTTAAACTGATCCAACATATTTGAAGAACTTTACAATCTTATTATATTTTGCAATGTATGGTTTTACCACATAATACAGTGCCATCGTTTTAGTGTCAATTATGAAGGCTTTTACCTCAGCTGCACTATGCAGATATCCATCAAAAAGAATTATCGATTTTTTACATGTACATGCAAAATTCCTTGTTCTCCTGTTATATCTTGACTTACCACTTCAGGTTCTTGCGCTCTGGGTTAACTTGTGCTTCATTGTGGAAAGCACGAAGCTTTGCAACTAGGTCAGTGGAATCTTGAGCAGCATTTACAGCCAGCGTTTTTGGAATAACAAGAAGGGCTCTTGCAAATTCTGCAATTGCCAACTGTTCCCTGGATCCCTAAAATTGAAAACAAAAATGTATCTGTACAATTACTGCAGGCTTAACATAAGATTGTAAAGTGTATATTTATTGTAAAATCCATAAAAACACAGATGAACTTTTGTTTACACAACATAACATGGACTGGATGCCTAGAAACATGTACAGCTCAGCTGAATGTGCTGGGACTGGTCTTGCAACTAGGTCATTGACCTGTTAAAATGTGCTCAATAATTTATGAATAAATGTTGGTGTTCGACAATGTTTAAAGTAAGCCATATTCATCTATTTGTGTATTCTTACCATGCTAGTGGCATAATTCTCAAGGTAAATGGAAAGAGCAGCTTCAACTGCACCACCTCCAGGTACAACAGACTTTGACTCTAATACTCTCTTCACCACACACAGAGCATCATGGACAGAGCGCTCCATTTCATCACACATATAGTCATTAGCTCCACGAAGAATGATGGATGCGCATGTTCGAGCCTTAGTACTGTAACAGAGGAGAACATAGCAATTACAACAACCATTTTTTCACAACCTGCATACCTTGTCCACAGTAGTAAATTTCAGTGTTTAAGTTACCAAAGTGCTAAGCAGACCTATACATTCATTGATTTGTCCAACATATAACCACATTCTATGTGTTAGATTGATCAGTCCACATAAATACGAATTAAATGGGGCTCTATACCAGCAAATGCATGTCTTGTACCAAGCATGACAAGGGGAACCCCCACATGTTCATCATTACACATAACGGTGAAAAGTATTACTCCAAAGTTAAACAAAACTCAGTTTTAAGGTTTAGAATGGTCTTTTAACCGTTTAGATGCCAGATGGCATTTTCTTTTTTAAATGGTGACAAGTGCTTTCCACTAATCACTGATGTCCACAGATTTGCTGACTTCTAGATGAAGGGACAGCACACATTTAATGGCAAGTTATCAAGACATAAGACAGTTTGGCAAATTACACTAGGAGGATCATCATCAGGTAATTTCTGGGAGGAGAAGCGGGTGAATGGGTGACGTGTGTAGCCTCTGAAACAGGAGTAGAACACAAACAAGTTTATCCAAAATTTCAGAGACAACGCAATACTTTATCCCACGCGTATAACTGCACATTGCACAGACAAGCATGGCAGCAATAAAATGGGATTACTTTAAATGTGTCTGAGTGAGGTGCACTAACTTTTTAACTAGGATCAGCTCGTCATCACATATTCTCTCTTGCACGACTTCTTCTGCTTGACCCAACATTGATGCTTCATAACTTTCCTCGCCCTCCAAGTTTGCAAGTGTTGAACAAATTGTTGCTGTTAAATCAAATGACAAATGTTTAATACAATTTTGTATTCATGCATCATCTGTACTTCAAGATTTATGTAGCCACGTTACTAGTTTCTAAAGCTTGCACAGACATTTCCCTCCAAAACACATGCCACCCGATGGGCCTCCTCGTTGTGCCAACCTCGGTGCAGTGTTCCTCGTGGACCGCCTAAAATCCTTTGACGCGCCATATGTTGTGCAGGTTTGTCTTATGGGATATCCAACTGAGCCCTCAGCTGCGCTTCCACTAATCATATTAACCCCTTAACGGCGTTCTATGCCGTCCCACATTAAAAGGGCTTTAAAGCCGTTGCGGCGGCATAGAACGCTGTAACGGCTTGCAGCCCCAGGAGGTCCGGTGGACTTTCCTCCGCCGCGATCCTCTTCTGGAGGGCTGCCTGACAGCCCAGGCAGCCCTCCCCCAGGGCCATGTGATCGCTCTCAAAGAACGATCACATGGCCCCCTATAGCTGGCTGTGGATCTGCCAGCAGGAGGACTGTCTAAAATGTAAGACAGTCCCCCTGCTGGTAGGAAAGAAAAAAAAAAAAAAGAATTAAACATGTTTAAAATAGAAATTTATATATATCTATCGTCATACAAAGTGTATTTAATATTAATATAAGTACATATATTAGTATTAAAATAAATATATTAAATCCCATGATCTCCGCTGGTTCAGAAGGTAATCCATAGTCAAGCGCTGAAAAGCAAGGCAATATCCCAAATCTCCCAGTAACCGGACGAAACAGTTCTGAGAGTCAACTGAAGGCTTTATTCACAGGCTCCACAATTTATACAATTCCCTATGCAATGGGTTTCCTGAGTGCCATCCCAGGGGTATTCCCAGAGTGGACTACATGGGGAACTTGCATTACAGAGCCTTTCCCCCCATCAGGCACTGCTGCACGAGAGGGATCCTCCCACTGGAATATACTGTTAAAGGACCACTCTAGGCACCCAGACCACTTCAGCTTAATGAAGTGGTCTGGGTGCCAGGTCCTTCTAGGGTTAACCCATTTTTTCATAATTATAGCAGTTTCAGAGAAACTGCTATAATTATGAATGGGTTAAGCCTTCCCCCTAATCCTCTAGTGGCTGTCTCATTGACAGCCACTAGAGGCGCTTGCGTGCTTCTCACTGTGAAAATCACAGTGAGAGCACGCCAGCGTCCATAGGAAAGCATTGTAAATGCTTTCCTATGAGACCGGCTGAATGCGCGCGCAGCTCTTGCCGCGCGTGCGCATTCAGCCGGCGGGGCGTAATGGAGGCGGAGAGGAAGAGGAGAGCTCTCCGCCCAGCGCTGGAAAAAGGTAAGTTTAAACACCTTTCCCCCTTCCAGAGCCGGGCGGGAGGGGGTCCCTGAGGGTGGGGGCACCCTCAGGGCACTATAGTGCCAGGAAAACGAGTATGTTTTCCTGGCACTATAGTGGTCCTTTAAGTGGATTATCCCTCCTTGCAGCAGAACCGGCAATTTACCTTAAAATACACCGTTTTTCGACTATTAGGTCTATTTGCACAGACTCTCTTTGCATTTCATTAAGTAAGCCCTTAGCTGTATATCCTTCCTAAACCTCTGCACACAGGTTTGGCTGACAAGCAATGCAAAATATCAAATAAATGACTCACTCTCTCCTGCCTCTCCTCCCCCCAAATAAAATAAAAAGTACTATTAACATTTACTTACCTCCAGTAGCTTTAGCAATGCGTTTCAAATCCTTTTTAAGAACTCTGCGTACAGCCATTGCACCCACATCCACAAAGTACTTGAGGCACATGTCATCAATTCCACCAGTTGTAAGTATAACATTAGCCCCCGTGGCCAGGATCTTCTGAATTCTCTCTTTTGTAATATCAGACTCCCTAGAATGTGTGTTAATACAAGTGTCAACACATAATAAAAACAGATTGCATGAGCTAAAGAGAAGCATTTATTGAAGCCAAGCAGCACATGCCAAACTACAACTATAAATAACACTTATGAAAATGAATCATGTTGGGACTCTGCTTCAGCAGCAAAACAACAAGTATTTGCAGAAACAAGCAGAAGACACATTAGTTTATCCCACGCGTATAACTGCTCATACCATTAAAAGTATATGGCAGCAAATAAAATGGGAAAAAAAAGTCAAAGGATGTTTGTATGAGAAGACAGAAGTATTTCATTTGAGATTATTCAAAGATATTTTATTATTTATGTGTGTAAATTGCACCTTTGTCTGATCTGGTCCAATTTGCTTGGATCTGAAATAATCACTTGGACACCAAGCTTCATTTTAGTTTTTTGCAGGCTGAAGTCAAGGCAAGCAATTTTTGCATTTACAATTCTTTTGTTCATTCCTAAAGATGAAAAAATAAAATAAATACAAATAAATGTAAACATCAAACTCACAACTCAAAAGAGATCTAAAAGTACTCACTTAGTCTACACAGGTTTTCAATTACCATATATCCATACACAATCTATACTCCATTACTTAATATATACACACATTATTATAAAATATAGATATCAGTATATATATATCTTTGGAGTTCTCTTGATTGTTTAACTTAACTCATTCTAACTGAGGAATTTTTTAAACTGTTGCTTAATATTGATATTCTAAAGGTGCAAAAGTTACATGCTTTACTTGATAATTGTTTTGTTTTTAAAACCAGCAAGCAAACTCTTTTAAACAAATATGCAAACCAAGTTAAATCAAATAAAACTTCTAAAAGTATATAAGGAAAACATGTGTAAATGTGGGGCACTGATTGTTTAGATCAGTGACCCCCGGAGTGGTTGTGAAAAGCATGAGAAAGAAAAAGGAGGTAAATATGTGGTGCGGGAGGGAAAACATATTGAAGGGATTTTTTTCTACCAACCGGCAGACTTTTTGTCATTAAAAGCAAAGGCTTTTGAATGAGAGTTGTCTCAGAGTGATGCATGTCCCTTTTATAGTTTCAATAGAGTGCAACAAAGGTGGGAAATAAAAGCCATCAACTGTCAATGAACAAGTTTATGACATGAATTTGAAAGCATAAATTAAAATACATACCCTGTGATCCCACTATACAGTTGAGTGCATATCCATTCACAAGCACACTTTCCTTCTGACTTCGTCCATGGGCTTTTAGAACATTTACAGAGTTAATAGGGTACCGTGCTTGACCCCTTGGATCTGTAAACTTCACAGCAAGTGCTGCATCAACAACCATGCTGGCAAAGAAGTCACTATCACTGAACATTAGAGTAAAGGCATAAACATCCAAATATAATGTGAGAAATAATGGAGATGTCCACACTGCAGTGAATTGACAAAAAACAAAAACAAAAAAAAACAAAACAAAAAAACAACATAGTCACTAAGTGAATCTTGCATACTCTTTTTAAGCAAAAAGGATACACTCCAATAATCTTAGAAGACATTGAGGTTTTAGCAGCATTAAGGAGACATTCTCGTCCAAGCTCATCAGTATTAATAGTGAGATTTTCATTGATATATCTTACGGCTTCCCTAAATGAGGAGAATAAAGTGTTAATCGTTGTATTATAACTGGTTATAAAACTATGGGGTAATAGAAACATATTTAATACATTATACAGGTAATGAAAAAAGGTAAGAAAGTATCTTAAGCTACTGTAAGTTAGAAGAGTGAAATCATGTGTGCAATCATGCAGAGTTGTTCTGTTGCTTTGAGTATATACTGTCCACATTCTGAACCAAAACAAAAAAAAAAACATGAATTTGCTTATATGTTTGTTCCACTCCAAGTTCCCCATACATATTACATACCATTTTTAATGGACGGAAAGGACTTTAACATCCTATATGTATACCTTACATAACATGTAAATAAAATGTTAAACATGGGAAAGTGGGAGAGAACCCCCCTACCCAAAAAACTACTTTTTTCAAATTTTTGCTTATAATAATTTTTTTTTTTTTTACAAAATCGAGAGCAACTGATTACATAAGTCAAATGCGAGTACTGACTATTAAATGCCCAATAGGTAGATCCCCAGATGTTGTAGGACAACACCGATGATTTGCATGCCTTTAGAATTGAAGCTGTCGTTTTAAACATCTGAGGATTTACCTTTTGGTCACCATGGTCTAATACGTTGAGCATCTAAATTTAGACAGCCAACACTAATCTTACACCAACCATAACCCTTACCCAACTAATACACTAAGCATATGCCTAATCTTACTATTAACAGCAAACCTACAATACCTTTATCCCATAACCAGCATTAACATGTACCTTAGCTTAAACTTAACCTACAGCTAACCTACCCCAACACTAACTATAGCCCTACCCCTACTCTCAAATCCAACCCCAATACCAAACCACTGCCAATATCAATTATGGTTAGAAATGGGGTTGCGATTTATCACAGTATATGGTGGTAAGTTGCCTCAATCTGCTGCCGTTTTCAGAATTACATTTTGTATAGTTCTAAATGGAGCCCTGGTTCCCAGCAGTTTACACTGTGATTGGTGCTGGGTAGCTGGCAAAGCCCAGCACAGGTCAGAATCAGCTGGGGACAGGCTGACAAATCCTGCCAGAATAGAGTCAGGCCCATAAAAAACACAACTGAGAAACTTTTCATTAATTGTAAAGGACCAATAAAGATGCCCAAGAAACAGAACACACGTTACCAAAATAGAATATAAACTCACTTGCAAGCCAGACGGTAGCCCCCAATTATAGACGTGGGATGGATTTTTTGCTTAACAAGCTCATCGGCATTCTTTAGAAGCTCTGCAGCAATGATAACCTTAAAGTAATCATAGATGTTACAAAAGTTAAACAAGTATAAGTTATAACTATCTGCATTCCACACACCTATGTTCAACAATGCAAAGGCAAGAGAAGCACATCAATGTCAGGCAGGAAACTTATGAAACAAGAACTGCTAAATGGCACAATGGCCGCATGCTGCACTCCACCCCTGCATACGGCTTATAAGCATAGAAGACAGTTTGCAGAGTTCTTTTACAAACTAGAACACCTTATGAATGTATACACATGAAAGATTTATTTTGCCTTGCAGATCACAACGGAAGTACTAGTATAACAAAATTCAAGGTAGGGGGCACAGACATATTAGGATCTTCAGTGACTTGCTTGCAATGGATTATTCCCTTATAATTCACAATAACTTGCATGCAATAAAAATAAATTTAGCTTATTTTTTCCTAAAAGACCTCATGTAAGAGGTTGGTTTTATATACAGTGGAATGTTTAATAGCAATGTTTTTATTAGATGTGAGAATGTATCCTAGTTTCACATTACAGATCTTCTTAAAGTCAGCAATTTTAACCCCTTAAGGACACATGACATGTATGACATGTCAGGATTCCCTTATTCCAGAAGTTTGGTCCTTAATGGGTTAAAGAACCACTCTAGTGCCAGGAAAACATACTCCTTTTCCTGGCACTATAGTGCCCTGAGGGTGCCCCCACCCTCAGGGCCCCCCTCCTGCCAGGTTCTGGGGTGAGGAAGGGGTTAAAACCTTTTTCCAGCGCTGGGCTCCCTCGGCGCTGGGGAATCTCCTCCTTCTACTGGCGTCATCGGCTGAATGCGCATGCTAGAGGCTGGATTAACCCATATCTAAACATAGCAGTTTCTCTGAAACTGCTATGTTTACAGCAGAAAGGGTTAATCCTAGAGGGACCTAGCACCCAGACCACTTCATTAAGCTGAAGTGGTCTGGGTGCCTAGAGTGGTCCTTTAAGGGTATTTTAAGCACTATAAACCATTATAGCACCCTGTACTGGTTATAGAGCAAGGAGTTCCCAAGCTCTGTCCAATAATACGTAGTGATTCCATCCGAACACCGTTTGACATTTACACGAGTCCTCTGAACATTTCCTGTCAAGGCCCCCTCTTCAGATATCACTAATGCAGAAGTTCATATATTATAATAATAAAAAATAAAAAAACACTTGGATGCTTTTTTGCATAAACATAATATTCAGGGATATCAAAGTTTATGTACTGACATTTCATATAGGAAAAGAAACATAACCATTTTCCTTCAGATGACAGTAGAGAATACTTTATCCCATTAGCATAGCCACTAGATCTGTAGAACGAAGAAGTGGTACTAAAATGGGAATGCCTACAAATGCATTTTAACAAGCTAACTCCTTGGAAGAGCAATCAAAGCATAAACACTACAACCTGCTAACACCCTCCCAGAGTAATCTGTAAAACAGTTTCATGAACTACTGCAATAGTTTCCCAGTTTTGTTCCAATGGGACACTGACAAAACCTAGACTGTTGGTGTGCCTTAAAGAGCCAGCAAAACAGTTTAGTGACAGGAACACAAAACTGTATTCCTTGAAAAAAAAAAAAAAAATCAAATCGCTCCACTTGCCTCGTGTAAATAAAGTGTTATAAACCCTTTATTTACTTACATGAACCCAGCGCCTATGCTTTGACCACTCCGATGTCCCACGATTGGGCACTAATGCCACAAGCACATTAGACCTCTCCATAGGAAAGCATTGAAGCAAAGCGTGAGCACGCCCAACATCAGATACCCGACCAAAGGTCCTTTTCCAAACTGGTAGACAGCCACTAGGGGCTGACTTAGTGCTGCAATGTAAACACTGCTCCCAATAACTTGCATGCAATAAAAATAAATTTAGCTTATTTTTTCCTAGAAGACCTGTTAAGAAGAAGTTGGTTTTATATACAGTGGAATGTTTAATAGCAATGTTATTATTAGATGTGAGAATTTATCCTAGTTTCACATTACAGATCTTCCTAAAGTCAGCAATTTTAAGGGTAGTCTAAGCACTATAAACCATTATAGCACCCAGTACTGGTTATAGAGCAAGGAGCCCCCAAGCTCTGTCCAATAATACGTGGTGAGTCCACTTGAACACCGTTTAACATTTACACGAGTCCTCTGAACATTTCCTGTCAAGCCCCCTCTTCAGATATCACTAAAGAAAATGTCCATATATAATAAATAAAAATAAATAAATAATAATATTAAAAAAAAAACACACTGTTTACCATCTCCTTGATTTTCTTTTTTGCTTTTACTATTAATGATTTTAATACTGCAGAACTGCATAGAAAAATGCCTAAGCACACATATGTGCTTAGTCCGACAAGCTCAGGGACTCTCTGCCCCCTGGTGGTTACTCTCAAGCAGTGTGGAGAAATCCACACTTGACATTATTTTATATAGCATGTACCTTAATAATCGTTATTTGAACCATACACATAGAATGTGCATACAACCCTAACTCTAATGCCATCGCACTAGCTATGTGAGCAGTTGCTTCTTGTACTCTAACTAACCTGCTGAACAACGTTCATTTAATCACCACTCTGACAAAGCAAATGTTTAGCAACGCAAGTTATCTAAATTTAAAAAAAATGTGCCTGTTTCAATGCCACTGTCTAATATCTATACTTGCAACACTCTGTTGTGGCGTCTGTTTACATCTTGTGATCATCTGCACAACCAAAATAAAGAATTTAAAAAAAAAACAAAAAAAAAAAAAAAACACACACACTTGGATGCTTTTTTGCATAAACATAATATTCAGGGATATAATTGATATGTATGTAAACAGGTGGTTGATCCAAGGAGAAATCTGATTCCCATTTGTTGTATGGCATAATAGGATTTACCTACAAAAATTGTTGCTTTTTGCCTTCTCTTGGATGAACAGCATTAAAAATGGGCTTCAGGATTGAATTTGATGGACTTTAATCTTCTTTCATGTTATGAAAGTGATATCAATTCTTCCTAGGTCTTGGCCAATTAATTCCATTTACATGAATATAAATCTAAAAATACAAAAAAAAAACACACACTCTAGAGAGAAAGATCCTAGAAAGAAACCTACTACTGAGGTTGTACCATCTCCAACTTCATTGTCCTGGAGATCTGCCAGCTCACAGAGTACTTTGGCTGCAGGATGTTCTACATCCAATAGTTTCAATATGGTAGCACCATCATTTGTTATGGTCACATCCTAATTTGGAAAAACAAACAATTTTAGAGACAATCACAACCACTGTTTCAAGCTTTAAAGTAGATCTGTTGTCACAAAAGATGGGAAAACACTTCAAAAATCTTATACATTAAAAAATAAAACAAATAAATGGAACAGCATTTTTGATATGTGACAAAACCCTACATCTAAATTACAAAATGTTGAACAAGTAGGTAAAATATTATTGTATTTGTTTCTTAACAAGAGCGCTAGCATAAGGCTTGCAAAATGTAATCCAAAACAGAGTTCAAAATAAATTTACAACCATGCTGAGTAAGTGTGTAAGCAGCAAGGGTTACTACGAGCATCTTAATAACCACAGCACGCTGTAGTGGTTATGATGCCAGGAGTACATTGGCCCGGTTTCCCAGTAATAAGGCAGACTGTTTTGTAATGGTTTGCCCTCTTACCTGGCTCCCCACCGGGTACCGAGGGTCCTTCTAGCTCCGTTGACTTACATCTGAATTCTACAGAGCTGCAGAAGAAGGATGCATATCCAGTCACCATTCATTGGCTGATAGCATCAGCTAATTGCTCTCAGGCAATTACACAATTAAAGGACCACTATAGGCACCCAGAGCACTTCAGCTTAATGAAGTGGTCTGGGTGCCAGGTCCAGCTTGGGTTAACCCCCCCCCCCCCTTTTTTAATATAAACATAGCAGTTTCAGAGAAACTGCTATGTTTATAATAGGGTTAATCCAGCCTCTAGTGGCTGTCTCATTGACAGCCGCTAGAGGGCTTCTCACTGTTGAGAATGCTTTCCTATGGACTGGCTGAATGCGCGCGCAGCTCCTGCCGCGCATGCACATTCAGCCGAAGAGGATGAGAGCTCCCCGCCCGGCGCTGGAGAAAGAGGTAAGTTTAACCCCTTCCTCTCCATCCAGCCCGGCAGAAGGGGGTCCCTGGGGGTGGGGGCACCCTCAGGGCACTACAGTGCCAGGAAAACAAGTATGTTTTCCTAGCACTATAGTGGTCCTTTAAATGCATGGAAATATGCACTATATTGACATTAGCCAGCCAAGAACTCCTATTCCTGGCTGGCGAATGATGCTGCCAGAGATTAAATAACACCTTCGGTAGCACAGAGGTTAAACTCTGTATCTGTAGTGTTTCATAGGGAAATGCTGCACACAGGCTCTAGGTACCATGATTACTTCAAATCATGGTGCTCTGAATGACTGTTTACCACATTGTAAACCAGTGTGTAGTGAATAAACTCCATAAATACCTATCAATTTATTCATAATAGTTTTATGCACAATTTCAGGTGAAACATGAACTCTGTTAATTTGATATGTAATACAAACTTTAATTTCAAAAGAGCTAAAACAGTTCCCGTAGGATAGCAGTAAACAATGCTGGCCATTGCAAAAACAGGACTAATAGCCTTCTTTTGAACATTAAGTACTTGAATTTGTACTTACACCAATATCATCTACTAGCATTTTATCCAGACCAACGGGACCAAGCGAACTTTTCACAATATTTGCAATAGATGCGGCAGCCATAACTGGAAGGGGGAGGAAAGTGCAGACATGATCAGTTCATTACTAGAATTGTTAAAACATAGACATTCTTCACAGGCTTAACTTGATGGCATTTCTAACTTTTTAAATAAATATTTATTTTTTTTATTAGGAAATGTTTGGGAATTTAAGAATGTTTACTAACTGCTCTTAAAAATCCATTAAATACAGAAGCTTGACAGCAAATCTGACACTCAATATAGTGTGGTGATCAGATGGGTCTTAGTAGTGTCCCATCAAAAGGTAGATCACTAATAAGATGCTGAAGAAGACAGACCCATTAGACGGTGCACCACTTGCCCATTCAATAACAAACTGTGACAGATTAGATTGCTGCCCCTCTAATTAAGCATATCAATTAAAACTCAGAAAACTCCAACTGTACATGTTCTATTCTACTCTCAACCACTCATGAGAGCCCCCTCTCCATACTCCACCTGTTACCAAATCATTAGAGATTCCCCTCCCACAGTAAAAACCAAACAAAAAAATATTATATATTAGTTATTAAAATGATTAAGTTAGTGGTACCCACATCAGCCTATCCTTGCAAGCGCGGTGTCTTGGCATTATATCGGATCCTAGCCTCACATCAAGTCTGTTACCAAATCCTTCCAATTCCACCTCAAAAACATTACCTGCATCCGCCCCTTTCTTATGCTACTACAGGAGTCAGTTCAAAGCTTTAATCCATACCTATAAAGCACTGAAGAATTCTAGCCCCTCATATCTCTTCACTGATCCATGTGTGTGCCATTCTCGGTCTTTCTGCTGTGCTCATGACCTTCTCCTGGCCACTTTTCACACCTGTATGGCCAACTCACACTTGCAGGACTTCCCGTAGTCTGCTCCTTTCCTTTGGAATAGCCGTCTACCACTATCAGATTCTCCCCTAGTCGTCAATCGTTTAAGTACCACCTTAAAAACCATCTTTTAAGGAAAGCTTATGGCCTCCCACAGTAATCTCTACCTCACATACCTGTCCCTTGCTCTCTCCTCAATGCCAGCACTCTACTCTCTCCTCAATGCCAGCACTCTACTCTCTCCTCAATGCCAGCACTCTACTCTCTCCTCAATGCCAGCACTCTACTCTCTCCTCAATGCCAGCACTCTACTCTCTCCTCAATGCCAGCACTCTACTCTCTCCTCAATGCCAGCACTCTACTCTCTCCTCAATGCCAGCACTCTACTCTCTCCTCAATGCCAGCACTCTACTCTCTCCTCCAGCCAGCACTCTGCTTACACTCTGCCTTGTCTTGATTGCCTCTCAGACTTATATCTCATGTCTTATACCCCACCTCCTCTAGACTGTAAGCTTGTTTAAACAGGATCCTCTTTAACATATTGTTCTTTTAAGTGCCTCATTTATGGTTAAATCTCTCCTCCTTATAATATTGCAAAACACTACAGATTATGTTGGCATTATATAAATGCCAATAATAAATAAATAAATATTTTTTTTTGCAGGGATATAAAAGTTTATGTACTGCCATTTCATATAGGAAAAGAAACATAACCATTTTCCTTCAGATGACAGTAGAGAATACTTTATCCCATTAGCATAGCCACTAGATCTGTAGAACGAAGAAGTGGTACTAAAATGGGAATGCCTACAAATGCTAAGGAATAAACACTACAGCCTGCTAGCACCCTCCCAGAGTAATCTGTAAAACAGTTTCATGAACTACTGCAATAGTTTCCCAGTTTTGTTCCAATGGGACACTGACAAAACCTAGACTGTTGGTGTGCCTCAAAGTGCCAGGAAAACATACTATAGTGCCAGGAACACAAAGCTGTATTCCTGGCAAAAATCACTCCCCATGCCTCCCGTAAATAAAGGGTTAAAAACCCCTTTACTAACATGATCCCAGCGCCTATGCTTTGACCACTCCGATGTCCCACGATTGGGCACTAATGCCACGAGCACATTAGACCTCTCCATAGAAAAGCATTGAATCAAAGCGTGAGGACGCCCAATGTCAGATACCCGACCAAGTGTCCATTTCCAAACTGGTAGACAGCCACTAGGGGCTGACTTAGTGCTGCAATGTAAACACTGCAGTTTCTCTAGAAACGCAATGTTTAACACTGCAGCACTAAGTGCAAAAGGGACACTGCACCCATACCACTTCTATGAGTCGAAGTGGTCAGGGTGCCTACAGTGTCCCTTTAAAGGACCACTCTAGGCACCCAGACCACTTCAGCTTAATGAAGTGGTCTGGGTGCCAGGTACCTCTAGGATTAACCCTTTTTTTTTTTTATAAACATAGCAGTTTCAGAGAAACTGCTATGTTTATACTGAGGGTTAATCCAGCCTCCAGAAACTCTAGTGGCTGTCTCATTGACGCAGAGGCGCTAATGCTTCTCACTGTGAAAATCACGAGAGGATCCATAGGAAAGCATTGTAAATGCTTTCCTATGCGACCTCCTGCCGCGCATGCGCATTCAGCCGATGACGTCGCGAGCAAGGAGGAGTACAGCTCCCCGCCCGGCGCTGGAGAAAGGTAAGTGTTTAACCCCTTCCTCTCTCCAGAGCCCGGCGGGAGGGGGTCCCTGAGGGTGGGGGCACCCTCGGGGCACTATAGTGCCAGGAAAACGAGTATAGGACTGGATAGGCAGCTACTGATTTGAACTCAGGTCCACAGTGCCACCACAACACCTGAGATGTCCAAGACTGTCAGGGTTATTCGCTAAAGTAGATTTAACTGGGAATTCAAGTGAATGTAAAAATTTAAGATAAAATAGCCAAAGTTAAAAAAATTCTGCAGGCCAGTTTTTTCAGCTATTAAACTTTATATACACTTTAAAATTCTGACAATTCTCACTTTATCGAATAATCCTGTAAGCCGGAAGGGGTTAGTATACTGATCTAATGTATTTGTTAACACTCTCCTTCAACCTGCTCGGTGGACAGCCAACTTTTCTAGCAGCAACTTAATATAATCAAGGTGCTATAACTATGTCGCCAAGAATCTGAGCGGAGTCCCATGTATGTCAAACCATTTGAGGGTAGTCAGACGATACCTGTAGCATTACCCAGGGCCAGTGTCATCATCTACAATTATAACATAGAATGTATACTTCGACCTGTACATCGCTGCAGAAAATGTTGATGCTTTATAAAAGCCAGTAATAGATAAATACATAGACAGCAGTGATTGAACTAAAGTGCAGAAGGCACCAAGCAATGAATGCATTTAAATTCATTATGCTGTGTGACCTCTAAAAACGTAGAGTTTTTTTATGTTGAAGCCAGTTTGACATCCATTAGAGGTGTGGCTTAGACAGCACATAAATACTGCAGTTTTTCAGAAATCGCAATGTTTTAGAGCTCCAAACAAAAGAGACAATGTCTTTGCACCAAAACTACTTCATTATGGTTATTATTATTGCCATTTATATAGCGCCAACAGATTCCGTAGCGCTTGACAATATTAATTGAACTTGGTGCTTTGTGTCCCTTCAGCCAACCTCCACAAGGTTTGACTGCAAGTAATATTTCCAACACATAACTACATTGAGTCATCTCCTAAGAACATCTATTTATTTGAGCAAGCAGTTTGTATTTTATTTATTTATTTTTTAAAAACACGGTGACTATTGGGAGCCTACAGAGGTTTATTCACTAAACTCTAAATTACAGCAATTTAAAACCATAATTGCAACTGCAGAAATAAAGATCTAGAGAAGAAACTCCCACAGCTCTGATCACATGTGGACAGTTTCTGTCAGTCTGGCTGTTACTGGGATTCGCTGGGTTAGTGGGATGGAGATGGGAACATGAGGCAGCACGGAGCACGATGCGGCCGGCCCTCCCCCCCTCATTCCATTGTGTCTGACAGGCACTGAGGGCCGCACCGCTAATCCATGAGAGCGCCCCCGGTATTTACCATTCTGGCTCCTCACTGCCTCCCCGGTACTGCGCTCCCCGAGCACTGCGAGCGGGCCTTCCATGATCGAACGCTGAGGAGACACAACGAGCCGGTAATAGACACAACGTGCTCAGCAACAGACCGGCCGCAATGCCTGCTGGGTAATCTCCACCTCCCTTGCACTTCCGTTGCTGAACGCTCCCCCCACAATAGGTGTCCCACCAGTGCCAGGCGAGCCATGCTCTGTGTTACTAATAAGAGTCCACGCAGCAAACTGGCAACGCAAGGGTTACGCATTCTGCGACGTAGAACTGGAGTGGGCGTGGTCAAGGACCCCGACTTCTGTGGACTCGAAGAATGTTCTAGTAGTGGATGGAGTTGCGCGCGCGCCTGACTCCACCCCGTTGGATCGCGAGAGCGGGCCGCGCGGCGGGCTCAGTCAGTGAGATGTGAGGGGAGGAGCTAGTGAGGAGGAGTAACGGCTTCCAGATGCGATGTATACAGGGACATGTATGGATCGCCTCAGGGGGTTACAGCCATTACACTGTCTGTAGCGGAAGGAAAGGAAGATTGCTTGTTATTAGTGGCAGGCATTTTAGGCAAAACTAAATATTGCTGTAATCCTCACACATGTATATTTCCAATAGAATTTATGGGGTGTTATATTTTGTTTAATGGACGTTTCGGATCCTAAAGCGCTTAAAATATCTGTCATCTCAGAACGTTTTTTCTTCTTTAAGAATCTGTTCTTCATTTCTAAACTACAGTCATGGGAAAAAGAAAGTACACTCTCTTTCAACTCTATGGTTTTATAAGAACATAATAACAATCACTTGGTCCTTAGCATGTCTTAAACCCTTAAAGGGACACTCCAGGCACCCAGACCACTTCTGCCCATTGGAGTGGTCTGGGTGCCAACTCCCACTACTCTTAACTAGTGATGTCGCGAACCGTTTGCGAAATTCCCGCGAACGGTTAGCTCCGGTCAGCTGACACATCCCGGCCAATCTCCAGCAGACCCTCCCACCTCCTGGACAGCTCACTAAGAATGCAGCTTCAAAATGGATGCTGTCCAGGGTCTGCTGGAGATTGGCCGGGATGTGTCAGCTGACCGGAGCTAGCCACGAACGGTTCGCGGGAAGTTCGCGACATCACTACTCTTAACCCTGCAAGTGTAATTATTGCAGGTTTTATAAACTGCAATATTTACCTAGCAGGGTTAACTCCTCAACAGCCACTAGAGGGATTCTAGCACAGGTTTTCTGTGCTATAGCGTCGCTGGACATCCTCACGCTGTATGAGCACTTCCAGCGTTGATAAAATCCCCATAGGAAAGCATTGAAAGCATTTCCTATGGAGAGGTCTAATGTGCCTGCGTGGCATTGCTGCGAATGCACATTAGGTCTCCCCCGCCGGCTGATGTGATGACAGGGAGGAGCAGCAACGTGGGGCATGTTGCTGCCTCTGGTAATTCACTGAAGGGGGTTTCACCCCTTCAGCAACCGGAGGTAGGAGGGAGAGGGGACCTGCAGTGCCAGGAAAACGGATTGTTTTCCTGGCACTGGAGAGTCCCTTTAAGGACACGCTTAAAGGACCATTATAGTGCAGGAAAACAAACTCGTTTTCCTGGCACTATAGTGTTAATAGATCCCCCCAACCCTCATGGCCCCCCTCCCGCCAGGCTCTAGGGGGAGGAAGGGGTTAAACGCTTACCTTTCTCCAACGCTGGGGACTCTCCTCCTTCCGTCATAGGCTGAATGCGCATGCGCGGCAAGAGCCGTGCGCGCATTCAGTCATTTATTGCACCAACACTTATTATACATAAATTGTTTTCACAGTTTTGGCAATAATAGCGTGTGCATAATATGTCCAGCTTAGAAAAAATTATTCAAAATAAATTCATTCATGTGTCTTGATTTATAGAGTATATCATATGTATACGATTTCAGCTTATTTTGAAAGTTACTGGTCACAAAATACAAGGACTAAAATAAAATTTCAATTTGCAACAATTTTAGAAGTTGGTATGTTTGTCTTGTAGATTTAGTAGCCAACACAGAAAAAATATTGCCACACAAAAGTATATATTTATATAAAGTAGACATCAAAAGCTATTTAACTAAAGTTAGTTTGACACTTTTTATATAGTCATTTTCATCGCCAAACTCTGCTAAATATTAGAGTAAAATTGTGTTTCTTCTTTATTTTGGCATATACATATATAACAAGTTTTTTGTAATATGTATTTTGTAAAGCTGGTGTGTGCTATTCCTGCACAGAACCCCATATTGTGTTCATCTACATCTGCTGACTATAACAATACCCCCATTTTTGTACCTTTGGCACTTTTCTGTAAAGCTACAATGCCATATAAGAGACAAGGCTATTTTAGTTTCTATAATTAGAATTTTCGTAGATGGATTTGACGGGCATATGTGTCATTTTAGGGTATTATAGCAGTGTGACTGTTCAAATAACCCCACAAAGGGCTTTCATTTGATAAAGCAGACACTCCAAGGTATCTTATATGGTGTATATTGTGCCTTAACTTGTCACCATTTTTTCGACAATTTATGTCAATGTTTGTGGTGAGGGGGGAAAAATGGCATTTTTACATATATGTTGCATTTTGGCTGAGTATTTCTTACACTTAAAGGACCACTTTAGTGCCAGGAAAACAAACTCGTTTTCCTGGCACTATAGGGTCTTTGGGTCCCCCCCACCCTCAGGGTCCCACTCTCGCCGGGCTGAATGGGAGGAAGGGGTTAAACTCTTAACTTTCTCCTGCGCTGGTCTCCCTCGGCGCTGGGGAACTCTCCTCCCTCTTCCGACGTCAGCGCCGCATTCGTGGCAAGACCCGCGCGCACATTCAATCAGTCCATAGGAAAGCATTGCTCAATGCTTTCCTATGGACGTCAGCGTCTTCCCACTGTGATTTTCATAGTGAGAAGTGCCTCTAGCGGCTGTCAATGAGACACTAGAAGCTGGATTAACCCTAGTTTACAGCTGCAGGGTTAACCCTAGATGGACCTGGCACTCAGACCATTTCACTGAAGTGGTCTGGGTGCCTATAGTGGTCCTTTAATATGTACCACTGTCATAAAAATCCCTAAATTATGCTCACTTATATTTTCTGAGTAAAACAATATGCCCAATGTATGACCTAGACACTATTTTGTGAAGTTACAGTGCTGTAAAAGAGACGTGACAAGTTCAGGTTTTTAAGTGTGAATTTTCATGGAGGGTTTTGATGCGTGCCTGTCCCACTTTGGAGCACTTTAGCTGGCTACATATTACAACTACACCATAAAGGCATACCATTTCTTAAAGAAGACATCCCAGGGTATTTCAAAAGGCATATTTTGAACCTTAGCGTGGGATAATTTTTCCGCTAGCTTGTACCAAGTGTAGTGGTAATTAGCATTTAGCATTTTCTGCCTTTTTGACGCACAAAGTGAGTTTGCATAGTATATTTTTCAAACCTTATGTGTGCTACGACTGTATAATACTTTATATGTTTCTCAGCTATGTCGTCTGAGTACAGAAATACTCCCATATGTATCTCTGCCAGGTATATGTGGACATGGAAGGGGCACATTTGAGACACAGCCATTCCAGGTTTTTTCAAACTTTACGTTTTTACGCTGTGTCCATGTCCCATTTTAGAGTATTTTACCAGGCTATATAATCCAAATACCCCATAAAGGCATACCATTTCTTAAAGAAGACATCCCAGGGTATTTCAAAAGGTATTTTTTGAACCTTGGTGTGGGATAATGTAGCGGAACGCCAATATTAAATCCACAAATTCCGCTGGTTCAGGAAGTAATCCACAGTCAAGCGCTGGAAAAAGCAAGGCAATATTCCAAATCTCCCAGTAACCGGACGAAACACAGTTCTGAGAGTCAACTGATGTCTTTATTTCCAGCTCCACAATTTATACAATTCCCCATGCAAGGGGTTTCCTGAGTCACATGCCAGGGGCATTCCTAGAGTGGACTACATGGGGAACTTACTGTACAGGACATTTCTCCCATCAGGCACTACTGCACGAGAGGGATCCTCCCACAGGAATGTACCGTTAAGTGGATTATCCCTCCGTGCAGCAGAACCGACAATTTATATTAAAATACCTAACTTTTCAAATATGCAGCCTATTTGTACGAATGGACGTTCGGTAGATAGCTGGGGTCTGAGCGCATCATTCGTGAGATTACCGCTCAGATCCAAGCTAAAACAACCGAACGCCGCATGAAAAACACATTCATTAAAATGTATATTCAAAAGACTGATTGAAGTCCAGTGAACAAAATACCGAACGGCCCGGAACTCCCGAACGGCCGTCAAGTAGCCGTTTTTAGTACCACGCGCTCGACGACCAAACACCGCTGAGGGAACAAAGGATCCAAGATGGCCGACCGCCGCATGGTCAGTAGTCGAACGGCGGCCACCTAGGAGAGCCTCTAATTACCGATTGCAACATTGTTGCAATCGGTTAACAAGCGCCACACGCCTCTAAGTGTGTGGGCTACTACAAGGTGGTTATTTCGGTTCACGAACGGCCCGCAAAAGTGCCGTTCGTGAAACGAAAGAAAATACCGCACATACAGCTATCTGCATTCGGCAGATAGCCAATACAGTAATTACACGTCATTACAGCCAGCATACATTATACATAGTTAAACACATATCCCCACCGACATACAGGCAACCCTTAAAGGTACAGTCTCTTGATATTGTCCAAGTGGCTATGTTTGCCACAATGCTCCCCCAGAACCAAGCCGGCATACACAGTCTGATCCCAACGGATCGGCTTGGGGATGTCCGGAGGATGGCTCACAGATCACTTCTCAAGGTCTGTTTGTCTAGATAGCCCGTCGGCATTACCGTTTTGTTTTCCAGGGCGATAATGAATGGTAAATTCAAAAGGCTGCAGCGCCAAACTCCAGCGCAGCAGCCTGGCATTGTCTCCAGCCACACGGTTCAGCCACACCAACGGGTTGTGATCTGTGAGCAAAGAAAAGGGTTGCCCGTAGAGATATGGTTGTAACTTTTTCAGGGCCCAAACCACGGCTAGGCATTCTTTTTCGATGGCGACATAGCTCACTTCCCGAGGTAACAGTTTCCTGCTCAAATATGCTACGGGATGTTCTCCGCCATCTGCTCCAACCTGGCTCAGTACTGCTCCCAATCCAAACATTGAAGCGTCTGTGTGGACAAGAAAACGTTTAGTTGGATCAGGAGCAGCAAGTACAGGAGCA